GCTGTCTTTTTCTTAGGGAATAAGGACAAAATTATTTACATATATCCTTACACAAAAGACCAAGACGAACCGCTATAGTATAGTTTGTAAATAGTAAGTAAATGATTTATTCGTTACAAAAATAATCATTATTTGCGGTCCCTGGCTAATATTAATGAAATAAGAGAATAACTATTTTGTCCGCCTTTATAAAAAAATCAAGAAATGTAAAACATAAATTTAATAAACTGTTTAAGTAATCCCCTAAAAGCGCGCTAATGTGACTCAAGAGGCGCCGCGTCACATAAGGTTACGTAGGTAGGTAGCGTGTCAGGGGAAAACCACTACGGTACCAGGCCCCAACTCGCTTTCAGTAGCTGAGCACAATTTTTAGTTATATTTATACTTTGTAGATATTAGCTAGTAGTGCCTGGATTGTCTTTCGACAACAGTGGACCAGTCCTGATGATGACCAGCAGGTTATACTTACAAAGAAAATTGTTCATATTAATTGGGATAGGTTTTTTTAATAATTCCTTATTCTCACACATCTCAGTAATACAATGTATCAACCACTATTTTTCTTAATTGTACTCAACAGAGGGTATATTTCTAATATATCAGGGTTTTTAAAGCTCGGATTAAACTACATGTGTTTTCTAGAACTCGAGTTCATTTTGTTGTGTACACCGCTTCAGTTCGTTATCGCGAAATTTGTTTGTCGCATTTATTGCGAGTGTGTTACATTGTCACTTTATTGCCCGTCAATCCAACGTAATCAGGCAGACCTATCCCATTACACCTCATTATCTAGCAGTATTTGTGACTTGTTCAGATTGTAGGTTCATGCACACATTGAATGATTCAGAATGTGCATTCAAATATTCGCAAATTCAAATATTATGTATTATGGTTATAAGTCTGTATGTATGTGACACATATACTTGTAATACATATTTACTCAAACAAGTGGTTGTATGATTTGCCCTATATACACGTACATATATACAAAGGTTTAACCGAAAACAAAACCGACCGTTGCATTACATAATGCCGAGTCGGTGATACGGTGTTCCAATGTAGAACCAAATCGGTCGTAAAATGCGAACATAAGCCAAGATACAATGGCATAATTAATTTTATTTACATATTTCATCACCACTTTTTGTGTTCCCTTCATAACTTTTCAATTATCAACTGAAATTATAACAACAACAATACGAAGCATTAAGCCGATCACGTTGACAACAACAAGGGCCCACAACCAAGAGTTATAAAATTGTAATCAATGCATTTTCCGTCAGAACTGCGAGCACGTCCCCCGCCCCTCCTCACCCCTTCGTTCCACTATCTGAATAGTTGCAACGTTTTGCATTTTTTCTCTCGACATTTCTATGTTATGGCAATGCAAGGCAATAAAAAAAAAATAATAACAATACATATAAATACATATATTACTTAAACAAAAATCTAAAACAAGCGCAATGGCAAAAAGTGGAAACACGTTAATTTTCATTTGGCTTGCGTCGCCAACTCAAGTCGCGAACATGTGAGTCGAATGTCGCGGGAGCGTTGCACTGCCGGCTGCACATTTTCCGACACGTGACCCACGGAACGGGCCCGGCCTGGCCTGGCCTGGCCGTTCTGGCCGTGCCGGGGCTGGTCGACGTTCTGTTGTTGTTATTATTGGGTATAAATAGCCGTGGCGTTGCCATAACTTGCGCTTTGCGCTTAGCTCCAAGCCTGGAGCCAGGGGTGCTCTGGGCTTGGATGGGACGTGAAGGGTTGCAATAGTTTCTATTACGTTGTTGTTTCTGCTGCCGCCACCGCTGTCGCTGCGTCGTCGACATTTGCCGTTTCGTAACAGCTCGGTGACTTTTTTCCTCTCTCTTTCTGGGTTTGTAGACAACGTCAGCGTCTCTGTAACGGCCGACGCTGTCGTCCCCGTCCGCACCTCCTCGAACGCCTTCACTCGCTCTGTAACCAATCACTGAGTCCGTAGATGATTACCGTAGCCATGCTATCAGCAGGCAGCATGTGCTTGTGTGTGCGTGTGTGTGCGTGTGTGTGCGTGTGTGTGTTTGTATTTGTGTGGACATAAGATTTGTAATAGCATACTTGTATATCGAAGCAGAGCTTGTGTGCAAGAGAGAAAGAGAACGAGAGAGAGAAAATCACAATTGGACGGAACGATCATTGCAAAATGTTAGTAGAACATTGTGCTCTTCTCTCTCGCCCCCAAAACTAGATTGGATCTCATTGATAGCCTCGATTGTTACTTAATTCTGATAAAGTCAAGCCGGAAATCGATTGTTCGCCAGGACACGTGAGTTTCCGCATCTCACGTGGATTTCTTGTTCTTCAAAGATAAATATTTTAACTAATGCAATGTTCAGTGCAAAGAAACTTTTTTAAATAGATTTATATAAAGCCAGTTTGGATCTATGGATCCCGAAGCTCAAGACAATTAAAAACCTTTTTTTATCCAAACACATCTGTAATAAATGTTAATAAAAAGCTACATTTCTATTTGAAGAATTTAGCTTTATAATTTCTTTCTTTACAGAATTAAATATTTTTTAGAACTTCCTGAAAACACATTATTTCATTTTAAATCCTTTTTATAAATAGGTTAATAAAAAAGGATGTCAGTGTTATCGGAAAATATTTGCTAAAAATCGTATCCCTTTTGTACTTCCCAGCGTTCCTAATACATTTATTTCGATCGAGAAAACCCTCCTCCACATGTACTGATATACATCTGTTCAGTACTTATTCTAGAAGAGCTCTACAAACATTTTTCGAAGGCTGTATTTTCGTATTCAAAAGCATTTTGTAATCACATTTAAGAATTTTTTAATACTAATTCAATCGACTTCTTTGTTCGAGGCCTTGCGTTTCATTTGCCTCTCGCGCCGGGCGTCAGGCGTCGGATCCGCCAGTCGACACGTCAGTTAATCAGTAAAACAGTCCAGATATGGCGGCCAGTCCATTCGCGAAACTTACATAATGTCTCCCGACCTTACTTTTTCTCTTGCTGCTGTTTACTTGTTTGCTTTCTGAAGTGCGACTGAATGCGACTTGTAAATTGCCGCCCCGCATTTTTCCGGACTGGGCCTTTGTTTTCAGCTGCAACAAAGTTTAAAATGTTGTTGTTGTGCCTGTCAAGGCATTTGATGACTACTTACGAGTGTAAGCCGCCGACTATCCGTCCCTGTTTGATAAGAATAGAGCCAGCAATTATCACAAATAACAACAGACCGAATATTCTGTTGTATAAGAACGCAGGCAACTGGTTAGCTGCACTTACACATCTATGTACATACAAACATACTACGAGTATGTAAGCATGTGTGTGTTGCCGGATATGTTACGAAAGATATATAAGCCTAAACTGAAGGCAGACAGTTTGGAATAAAGAAATGACACCATATTATTAATAAACAAATTGAATTGTAAATTGTTGTTGTTGAGAATGCTAGAGTGTTGAATGCAGGGAAATTTGACTTGTCGTATGTCTGGTACGATTATGATGTGTTGTTTGGGGAAAAATCTTGAAAGCTGCATTTCGAATTTATCAGATTTGTGTACCCTTCACTGAAAAATAACGATTAAGAATCGCAAGGACCTCCCACGGATCTTTTTTATTTGTTGGATTAAAACTTAAACAAAATAATTTTGCTACACATTCGAATTTCTGCGAACTGAGAATCATTCCGCTAGACAGTATTTGGATTGTAGAATATATTTCGACAAAGTGTATAAGTTTAGAATATGGTATATTTTAGGATATACCTATTTTATCCTTTTAATATGTCGAGTCTGATCATTCACTTCAATTATTTCTATACAACTGTTAAACATATTATAACGAATTTTTATTTTACTTAATGTGATATTTGATATAAAGTTAATTTTTGCTGTCGTTGTTAATAATAGCTTCGTACAACTTCGTAACAAAAAGTTTCAGTTTACTAAAATTAACTTGTATCCACATACATACTAGGCCATAGCACAGGATATAAAATTAGCGTATTGTGATCTAACAAATACGAGTATGTATATTCCGACTCGTATCCAATCCAATATCTACGACTCCATTTGTCCAGCTAGCTTGGCACTTGACACACTTAGCAGCTAACTCTTTATAGCGCATATGTATGTATGTATGTACTAATCGTCAAATGACTGAATAGACATACAAACATATATATGTATATAGATACTTATGTATGTATGTATTTAGCAGGCAATAAACACCAACAACTCTCAGCTACATTATAAGATGTGTTTGTTGTTCTCTGAATAATTTGTGTAAGGCTTGCGTCACCATAAGACAACGCGCGCACGTTCACACACACACACACAAAGATGCTCACATACATATACAGTTACATATACAGATATACTGGCTCACGCGGCCAGCACATTGCAGCGCAATACTTCGCAACACCTCTGCCTCTGTCTCTGCCTCTGCTGGTGTGACACACAGTGTATATACATATATACATGCCTACACATATAGAAGGTTGGAGCGCCTTGCGTCCCCACCCCGTGCGCCTAGAAGCGCACCAATCACGTTCTAGTTTCAAATGTGCAGCTCAAAACGATTTTAGATTGACGGTGATTACTCAACACTAACACACAACAGCAATGTGATCTTTTGCAACGCGCAACAGGCCAGCTCCGAACCGAACCCGAACCCAAACCCCAACCCCAATTCGACTTTATCGACATCAACATTCCCAGTCCCAGTCCCAGCCCCTCCGTCTTATAGCTAAAGGCAGTCAGCGAACAAGCGCAACATGTTGCTGTTGTTGTTCTTGGGCTCAAAATTTCACTTTTAGCCAACAAACAGCAGCGGCCCCAATCTGCCTCGAACATGTTCGATGCTCAACATATGCGCGACAGAGTCGCGTGTTGGGACAGCGTGCGTTGGCAACGTGACCGTCCAGACGAGACCCGCAATACCAGGACGGTGAAATGCTTTTACAAATTCAATTGCGATTCAGCTGTCGGGCGAAACGGTTGTGCGCGCTCTCTTTGCCAACGTAAGAGCATAAAATAGAGTGATACTAATGTACAAGTATATCGTACATTATTCGTTCAGCACATAGAACGCGACCCATGCGCTGATAAATCTAACAAAAACATTGGAAACGCCAGCGAGAATCGTTAAAAGCGTTTGGCCCAGCCACAAAACAACACACGCAACAATTTCGAAAGAAAGCCAGTCGCTGACTAGCAAAGTGGCTAGAAAGAAAGTAGCCACTTATACAAAGTGCATTAGAAAGTTCTAAGTTGGTCAAAATATCAAAATATCGCAAATAAAACAATAACATTTTGGAAGTGTGTCAAGTCGCAAAGTCGCTAAAAAAAAACGAACCAAGAAATTAAAATTCATGCGGAATTCTTGGAATGCATCGTTAAATTATTAAATACGCAATGTGCAACAAAACTGTGCAAAACTGTTTGAATATCAGTGTTAAGAATTAAATATGTCGATTGTGTGCACTTTGGAGCAGAAAGTGAATTTTTTTAAAGCGGCTGCAACAGGCAAGAATTTGTTGATACTCAAGAACAACAGCAGCAACCAAATTTATTACCAGGATACGCGCAACAGCAGCAGCAACATCGGCAACACCAACAACAACAACAACAAGTCACAATGTATGTGTAATAAGTACTATTAACAGTTCGTAGAATTTGTTTATTATTGTGCACAATTTCAAATAAGAAAGAAACACAAAGAGGAAAACAACAACAACAACAACAATGACATTAAATACTAATCGAGACACAAATATTACGCATACGAACCGTTGCACTCGTATGGGTGGCCAGTGAGAGCAACAGCGTATGAATGCGTGCGTGTGTGTGTGTTTGTGAGCGGGCACCTCGTGCCTCGCTTAGTCACTTTGTTTTCGCAAATTTTGTCGAACAGCAACAACAACAATAAGAACAAACTCTTAGCAGAGCAGACAAATATCCCCAAGCGTCACTGCTGGCGTCCGTTGGGGGTGTCAGCGGCGTTGTAGGGGTTGCAGTCGCCGCTGACGGCGGCCGCGACGCCGACAGCGTCTGGCAGCTACGTCTGCGGCCCGCTGACGTGACAGCTTGTGTGTGGCGAGAACATTGAACTGCAAAATGCGAATTCGATGGTCACGGTGAGGGTTGAGACAAGCACACAAACAAACACACACACACACGCACAGACTATCTCACACACACTCACCCACATGCTAGCACACATACGAGTATTTCGCAATGTGATTTCTTGTTTACCAGACGAGGCGAGCGCAGCAGCAGCTTAGATGGGCACGATACTCGTACAACCTTAACTGAGTCTGGGTCTGTGTGTGTTTTTATTTGTTTGTTTGTTCGTTCGTTTATTCGTTTGTTTGTGTGCGCTTCCTTTGTTAGGCTGCTGTCTAATTCGTTGATTCTTGCATCATTTGCGGTAATCAACATTTTTTATAAAACATATACACATGCATACATATTTAAAAAAAAAAGTCAGCGCTAAAAACGGTTGCAATTCCCATAATTTAGGCATTTTTCATTTCATTCAATTTTGCGTTCGCTGCGCCTTTGCGTTGTGGCTGCCACCAAGAAAACAGACAAAGAAAGTTTCGGAGCCCTACGACTGTATTTATGTGCGTGTGGGTGTGCGTGTGTGCGTAAGCCGGCATTTTTGATTTATACGTAGCTGACTGAGTGTGCATGTGGTTGGCTAAGCTGCCGATTGTTATAAATAATCTTACAGCAGTGAATAGAGTGTTTCTGAATCAAAGATTGGTTTACATATAATTATTACTATTTATTCTTCCATTTAAGTAGTTGTCTTAATTATAACTAACAAAACATTGGATAAATGAGTGAAAAAACAAACTATTTTGTTTCTGAAGAGAACATAATTTATTGAAAATGTTTACAAATTTCCAAGCCAAATTATCAGACACGTCATCGACCCGTTTGACAGCAATTTGTTTACTTCGGTAGCTTTATCTCTAAATAATAGTCTGATTACAAATAAAAATAGGTCGTATCTGCGGAATTAGCAAATAAGTGTATAAATAATTGCCGATTATTTAAAGCTAGCTAAGCGATCACATACAGCAAAAAAAAAAAAATAAATAAATAAATAAAAATGATTACTAATTAATTTTTTCTTCTCTTTTTGCCTTGCAGTTTTGCGATCAGAACACAACAGCAATAGCAACAACAGCTCATTGCTGCATCAAAGCTACAACACTAACAACAGCAGCAGCCAAGGGGCTCATCTCAGCCTCAGAGAGGAGTTTTTAAGGGTTACAGCACCTCGCGGCAAACTTCTGGCGCCAACGGCAATGCCCGAAGTGCTCAGCGGCACGCCCACCAACAGCCACAACAAAGCAAACAAATTGGGCGCAGGCAGCCAATTGGCCAACAATTGCAACAACGGCAGCAGCGGCGGCATCATGAACAACATCCGTCTAACCACCATCTCGCCAACGCTGTCCATGAACGGCAGCTCCAACGAGTCCACAAATTGTAAGTCACACGCAGAGAAACACAATTAGAAATTAAAATAGTACTCCGATATAGCGAATTGTTCAAAAAAAGAAATTAAAAGTGCAAAATGTTTTCAGAATTTTAGAATCAAGCAAGAAAGTTATTTTACTAATTGGTTTAAACTCCGATCGTTTCTTGTATTGCTTGCAAATAATTTAACACAAAACTAAACCGGATTTGATCAGATAAGCTAGGGTTAATTTTAGATAGTCAGGCAGATATCGTTCATACACAGGGCAGGCACTTATCTATGATAAATGAAATACCATATAAGTAGTATAGCTTGATATCGGCAAGGTTTAAGGGGTTATAAGACAAAGCCTAGACAAGAGTTTGTTACTAACTTTTGCCCGCTTTTTCTCTCCTCTGCTCTCTGCAGTGCACACGATGTCCATGTACGGCGGCTCCATCAGTCCACAGTCGAACGACAGCGGTCACAGCGGCATGTCCGACGGCGGTCTGTCCAAATTCGTGCCCAGCAGCTTCGCCAATGCTGGCGGAGCGTATGGGGACGCGGTGATGGGCAAGCCACCCTCACAGAACGGAGGCGGAGCTGGCGGCGCCCAGTCGGCTCTGACTGCTGCCCAGAAGGAGCTCTTCTCGCAGCGCAAGCAGCGCGAATTCACGCCGGACAGCAAAAAGGACGAGAGCTATTGGGATCGGCGGCGACGCAACAACGAGGCCGCCAAGCGAAGTCGCGAGAAGCGACGCTACAACGACATGGTCTTGGAGCAGCGAGTCATCGAGCTGACCAAGGAGAACCATGTGCTTAAGGCGCAACTGGACGCGATTCGCGACAAGTTCAACATTTCGGGCGAGAATTTGGTGAGTGTGGAGAAGATATTGGCCTCGCTGCCCACCAGCGAGCAGGTGCTGAGCAATACGAAGCGCGCCAAGATGAGCAACTCGAGCAGCTCCTCCACATCCTCGCAGTCGGGCAACTCGTCGCCGGGCAACGCATCACACGGTGGCTACAATGGCAACGCACCACTGTCGCCCATCATCTATGGGCCGAATGTGAATCAGGCCACTGTTAAGAGCATGCACCACGCACCACCGCCACCACCACCGCCCACACATCTGCAGGCCATCTCTGTGTCGCATCCACATCCGCTATCGCACTCCCACAATCACTCGCATCCCTACCAGCAGTCGAATGGCATTGTGGAGTCGGCAGCACCACCCAGCGTCACAGCCGCTGCTGTAATTGCCGCTGCCGCCAGCACCACCGTGGTGGCGGGCAACACGCCCGCCCCACTCGATCAGCTCACACGCCCGCCCATCAGCAATGGCGCCAACGCCGGCGCCTCCTCCACCGCCACCAATGCCATCGCAAATCTTCAGGTGCTGCAGCAGGCGCTTAATGGCAATGTGCGGCCCGAAGATCTGGACAGTCTGCGCAAGGCTGTGGTGGCGGGTGCTCTCTACAATGCACCACCACCACCACCGCCCTCAGGTGCCACAATCTATGCACCACCACCACCCAACGGCTATGTGGGCATCAACAAGGAGGCTGTCAGCTATCTGCACGGCGTGGAAGCCACCGTCAGCTCCAGTGCTGTGGACGCCGTCTCCTCCTCGTCCGTGAGCTCCGCAGCGGCCAGCGTCTTGAATTTGTCACGCCGCGCCTGCTCCCCCAGCTACGAGCACATGCTGTCCTCCACCACCTCCTCCTCCACATCTGCACATCACTCTTCCGCCTCTTCAGCGCTATCCTCGGCCTCCTCGTCGGGCGCAGTTTCTGGCGACGACGACCAGGAGGCAGATGTCGATCCCGTATCTCATCATGCGCCGCTGCCGCGCCCACTGGTCCACAATAGCCCGCCGCACAGCAGCACCGGCTGCGGTAATGGAAACGGTAGCGATGCCAACAACTGCTTGCCTCTGAAGCTCCGGCACAAATCCCATTTGGGAGACAAGGATGCGGCCGCCACGGCCCTCCTCTCGCTGCAGCACATCAAGCAGGAGCCGAGCTGCAATCGAGCCTCGCCACCCGCTTGGAACGATGGGGGGGACAATTCGAGCGACGAACGCGACTCGGGCATCTCCATTGCCAGTGCCGAGTGGACGGCGCAGTTCCAGCGCAAGCTGCTGGCGCCCAAGGATGTGGGCGGAGCCGCTGTCGTGCCCGTCTCAAATGCCGAACGCGATCAAATGCTGAAGACGCAGCTGGAACGTCTCGAATCGGAGGTGGCGAGCATCAAGAGCCTAATGATCTTGAGCACCGAGTAGATCCGTCCGTGGACATTTTCGGGTCACCAGCCCAGAGGAGAGAGAGCGAAGAGACAGACAAATTGTAAAGGCAGAGACTTTTGGAATATTTGATTGGTTGGTTGGTTGGTTGGTTGGTTGAATGAATGGATGGATGAAGGGATGGATGGTTGAGGAGCGCCAGTTTTCACAAAAACCCTCTTGATTGCGAGTGTATACCTCCAAGCTGTAACTATAACTATACAATATGATAACTTCAGTCCAAAATACATAGTATATCGATCTAGGTACATATATATACATACTACTTATACTTATATGTACAAGTATACTATAGTGAGTGTTGAGTTTTATTTTCGTATACCATACTCGTCGTATATGCTATTGAATACTGATGCAGATCTCGTCGCACTTGAAGCAAAGGTCCTTAACTAATTGATTTAGCGAGTTGGCTCGATCTTTGAGTATTGTTTTTAATTCGTTTAATAATCGTATCTTATCTACTTGTACAAGTGTATGAATATTGCTTGTTGTTCTCTAAGTTTCCTTATGCACATCAGACGTTGAAATTAGATAATTAAGTTCTGATTACTATTTATATGAAAGCTACCAAGTATTTGCTATTCTGTACATATTTCGACTACATACAAGTATATCTAAATACATGCATATATATTCCTATTATACATACGAGTACATACACAGATCTTTTGTATATATTTGATCATATGATATATATATATATATATATATTCTAGGTTAATTACAAGCTAAGCTTATTCTACTTACTACTATTTAACCCAAAACACTACACAACATTTGTTATAAGAGAAGCGTAGAGCACATTCAAGATGAAACTAAAACACAAAGCGAGTGTTAGACATTATTCTGAAGGATCAGAAGTTAAGAAACTATATGCAATAAATATTTTAAATACTTACAATTTAATTTCTATGTCGTTCTGATTTTATTTATTCTTTTTCGTTGCTGCTTGACAAATATTATCTATGGGGAAAGTTTTAGAAACTTGACAAACCTAACTAAATACCATATACTATAACTATATGAAGCTTAATAAATAGATATACATATATATATTTATATATATATATAATTGATGAGATGCAAAATACATATACATAGGTATTTATATGTGTTGGAGCCCCGAAGGGGCCATTACTCGTATTATTGTCGTGGTTTCTGTGAGAGCGTACAGATCGCTGCCCAGGGCAGCGTTTAATCTTAAAGTTGTATTACAGTTTAAAATAAAATACAAACAACACACACTTGCACACACAAGAAAAATACATATGATTATTGATATGACAGAGCTATATTCACACACAAACACACACATATATATATATATAATTATATATATATTAAAATACATTTTATGAATCTTTATATGAATACACACTTAAAATATAAATCGTTTGTGTTGATCAATGAAAATAAAACTATTTATAATGAAATAGAAAAACTACATTTGTTTACTTTAAGATTGCCGACTATTTTGCATTATCTACTCGTACAATGTGGGGTGATAAGTTGTATATTTATAAACAAATATAGGGCAATTGATATGCGACGCGTTAATGCATAATCGCTACGTATCTCCCCGAAAAATGTCAGATACCAGAATGGCGAATAGCTAAGAAGTTCGTCTTATCGCACTATGAAAACTGCGCAGCAACAATCCACACTAGTGGCGAAAATATTCTCCAATCTTGAACCGATTCCATTACAGGGCGTCTTCTAAATAGCGTCCTATGACTATTGAAAAGTTTTCATACCACGGATGAGCTTCAATGATCATTGATTGCCAAGCTACGAATATGTGGACAGATCGCGATGAAGGAAATTCATGCCCAGCTCTCTATTGAATACCACTGTATGATAACTGAACAAGAGAGAACGGTACAGGACTTAGGGGAACCTCGATACCAAGTTTGGTTATTCTAGCTCTTGTACTTCCTGATATCCTTGCGCTCATACAGACATACGGACAGACGAACGGACGGACATTCGCACAAAACTAGTATAGCCTTTTACCCTTTGGGTACAGGATATAAAAAGTCATTGAATCATTAGCAATAATGACAATAAATTGACGAATTTCCTAAGCTTCTTTTCTTTCAAAATGACATTACGCTGTCTCCCTAATAGATTACTTTCAAGTGGCATTCATTTTGACATTCAGGTTGATTCTCCGTTATCCGTGATCCTAACTTCGTTATCAGCAGAAAAATCGCTTCTAAACCTTTTCGCTAATATTATTTTTAATATTGAACAACTACAGATATAATATTAATCTTCCGAGTTATGAAATTTCCATAAAATTAACAACTTTAAATTAAAAATATTTTAACTTCAGCTCACGTTTAGAAATCAAATAAATACCAAGCTCTTATCGAGTATAGAAATAAAGCCATATAAATAGTATGTTGCAGACTTGCATCGCGACCAAAGAAAGGGTTAAGAATGCTTAACCCAAAATATCTCAATCATCAAAGAATGTTATGTGAACTAATTAATAAAAATTTAACAGAATTGGTTATTCATTTGTTATGAAAAGCTACAAGCTTTTAATTGATAAACGAAGTTCCTGGTAAGATTGAGGGAGCTGTAGGATATGTCTACGTCAATAAAAATATAAACTTGATCTGCCTAGATGTTTGAGGAATATGATTACCAAGTTTGTGTGCACTTTTTGACATCCTTTCGTTCATGCAGACAGACAAATATGGCTATATAGACTCGCCTTGTCATACTGTAGAGATCACTCAGTCTTTTTTGTGGATGTGTGTTCGACGTAATTAAGAGATGGGCTCGACTCTGGCTTTCGGAATGAATCCCACTCATTGAAGGCCAACCTGGTGCATAGTACGATTCGATAAGATTCGATTCGAGATTTCGCCTCCTACTGAGAGGAGTTTATTTGCAAAATGCACTGCAAATAGTTTCCGACCACAGAGATACATTTGACATTGTCAGACCAAATGTGACTAGGCTTGCCTAGCACTAAGAAATGCAGCAGTCGTCAGATGCTCTACCAGCTCCAGGTAGAGCCAACAAATCGCATACATATCACTTAATAGAAGTCCTGGTGCGTGCCTCCGGCTTGTAAAAGAAGCGTCCGCAGTAGTCAACTACAACTACTGGTAAATCTGCCATTCAAATGCTTAATAAGCTTTGGCCGGGCCCTAAATCACTTCAAACACCGGCCAACTGCCGTCGACACAGCTCGTCCGCCAATTGGCCAATACTTAAGGCGAACTTCAGCAAGAGAGCAACAGAAAGAGGTCCAGCATGTAAGCTCATTTCATTTAAATGAATGACACGTGCGAAGAAAAATGCCAAAATGCCGAACATCATATCCAGGGCACGAATTTCAAAGCCGCCCATCAACGCAAAGAATTCCATTTTAGTTCTCATGCCCTGTACCCGAAGGGTAACAAGAAAGGAATGCTAAAGTCGAGCAGGCTCAACTCTTCAATACCCTGTACCACCCCACAAAAAAGTAATTAAATTAATGAATTAATTTAATTAATTAACTAAATTAAATATAAAATATTCCATGCATGCATACATACATTTACATCAGAATCGTGCCTTATGCGTGTTTGTGTACTTGTACATATGTATGTATGTGAGTATTGGGCCTGGTTATATGGCTATAACTTTCTTTCCGATCATTCTATCATAATGAGACTTGGTATACGGTTATATAATAACTAACCTAATGTGACTACCAAATTAATTCAAAATTCCAAGAATTACGGGAGTTATAGAAAATCGTTAATAGGGGGGGAGTGGGGGGGTGGATCAGAAAAAATGAACAAACTCGTCCTTTCTCGGTTTCAGGTGAATCTGTATACCAAGTTTGGTTATTCTAGCTCTTATACTTTCGGAGATCCTTGCGTTCATACAGACAGACAGACGGACATGGCTATATCGACTCGCCTTGTCATGCTGATCAAGAATATATATACTTTGTGGGGTCTACCAAGCCTCCTTCTGTGTGTTCCATGTGCACTCGCACAAAACTAATATACCCTGTACCCTTTGGGTACAGGGTATAAAAAGGGTATGTAACATGCAGAAGGAAGCATCTCCGACCCCATAAAGTATATATATTTTGAATCAGCATGACGAGAGAAATCGATCTAGACATGTCCGTACGTCTGTCCGTCCGTCCGTCTGTCTGGATGAACGCAAGGATCTCATAAACTATAAAAGCTGGAACAACCAAAGTTGGTATCCAGATTCTCCTATGTCCGAGAAAGGACGAATTTATTTTATTTTTTTGAATTTCCCCCTCCCTTCCTCTGCTACAGAATACCGTCAATACCGTACATATTTTAAAAGCTACCCTAACCAATCTTTGCACACATAATTTCTATAAAATTATCTACTTTTGTTTCAAATTTCATCTAAATCGGTTAATGCTAAGAAAAGTTATTAGCGAAACAAATTCTCTACAGTACAACCCCCACCAAACTGCAGCAACAAGTTCGCTCTTCTGCTTCCTCTTTTCGCTTCTGCTATGGGCGCATATACCTCAGTGTCGGAAGTTTACCTGGGTACAGGGTATTTCACTGTCGGGCTTGCTCGACCGTAGCGTTCTCTCTTGTTTTTTCTACACGAAGGGAAAAGACCATTTATAATGTGTATCGTTATTGGGGAACAAAAAAATGCACTCTAAGCTTAAAAGTACGTAATGTAAATTAAATGTATGGCAAGAACTAAAAACAATTAAAACAAATTAAAAACAGCTATGTTGTTAGCAACAAGGATAGGTTATTCCATTTATGAGAAAAACAAATGTTTCAAAATTAAAATGATAATCATAAATACAGGAACACAACAATTTAATTCACTCGAGCTCGCTTGCTTCGCATCGCTGGAATAATTTTGAACTGGATTCTTTAACAGTGGACTCTGTTATGAGTCAATTGTTGCTACCTCTTTGTATAATTCTTTGTAACGATCCATACAAGAATTCAGCTCACGCTGGAATTGTGCAACTCTTTCCACATTGGGATCGTTTGTGACGAAATGGTATTCTAATTTATTTGCCAGTTGATGTCCTTCTTCAATTAAATCTGCAGTAAGCTTAACAGATTCTTCACTATCACTGCTTATTGTTTTAAGTTTTTCTTTGGCAGCTTTCTGACCCGCAGAACAAGTCTCGCCCTTGATTTTTATGTTATGAAGCGCATGCCTTTGGAGAAATCCTGTCAACCAACCTGTGCTCGCAGAAAATAAGTAGGTCTTCTCAGGAGTGGATTGTGTAGAGGTAGACGATTGTTCGTCTTTAATCATTTTATAGAACCTTAATGCTTGCTGTTTGATATTCTTTCCGTCTACGGGAATCCGTTTTTGTGCATTGTCCTCAAGCCATATTATCAGTGCTTTTTCCATTTTTTCTTTAGTAGCATCTCTAGTGTATGATGAAGACTTAACAGATAGTTTTGTTCCAGAAATCATCGATTGCCTAATTGAAAATTCATTTCTTTTTATAGTTCTTACTGTGGCTTCGTTTAAGCCGAACATTTTGCCAAGAAATGTTGAGCCCTCTCCATTTCGAAGGCGATCTAAAATTTCAATTTTGGTTTCCAAAGAAATGGCTTTACGTTTTAGTTTTGTAGTTTTCGGCATTTTCTTTTAGGGATACATAGAATATTTAACAAAATTAAAAAAGTATTAATAACTGAATGAATATACAATTTTTTTTGGTTTACCATTTATCTTACTGCGTTAAAATTACATTTATTGTAGCGTTGGAAAAACCAATAACCAGCCCAGGAACAACTCCTTTACCAAACACGTCCGATTGCATTGATAGTTCACAAAATACTAACACATTTTAGGGATGTAAGAAGACAACGATACATCGAGCATCGACGATGTTTTTAACACGATGCAGCGATGTTTTCCGATGTTTTTTTTGCTTGCGATGCAGCGTCGATCTATCGATGTTTGTCCAAACATCGAACATTTTTCATGTTTAGTTGGACGGTCATATTTCTTTGGGTGGTCTACCTGAGAAGGTATTTTAATTTATTTGATGTGATTGAAATTTTTATTGAAATGTGTATTTGGTATATTAGATTGCTAAGAATTTGATCTTCATTTTGATTTGTATATACCCAATTCGGTTTTTGTTAAAATTTTTATATATGGTTACACAACTTTATTCCATTTAGCACGATTCATTTTGCATTTGATCAATGTCTTTTTTTACACGGTTTTTTTTAACACAACTTTTTCTGTAACCAATCAACCGTGTTAAACAGAATTAGGTGTAATGCCAAAGTAAGTTTTTCTGTAAATCGCAGTATTTAAAAAGTATGTGTATAGCCACACTTAATATTATTATTAGTTGCAAAGCGTCGGGTTGATTTATTTTTAAAATACAATTTCATTAAAAGTCAGGATTACTGTTTAACCTAATCATATTAGGTAAAATACTATGACAGCTTATCTTGATTAATACACATTTTTGATTTAAAACATTCCTGTTGATTTTCTCCCTACTATGAGGCGTTTTTCTATGAAAAGTTAATGTTTGAAAACACCATGCAATGCATCGATTTTTTGTAAAACGACATCGATATCGATGTTTTCTCTTCGACTTACATCCCCAGCACATTTCAGTTGCTCTGACAAGTAAATTTGCTTGTATGCACAAAAAGGGAATTCCCCTAAATCTATGCTACTTACAATCAAGAGAAAAAAGTATGTACATATTCTCTTTGTACTCTTTCATGTTTTTGTATAGTTTTTAGCTGTTGTGTTTTTATTTATTTGTGTTGTATTTTTTTTTGTTTTCAAAAATGTGTATCAATAGAATTAGGTGTACATATTACCATAATGATTAAATAATGCACGATGCGTTTAATATACCGTGAAAACTGTGGATAAAAGAGGTGTCCGTCTCATTTATCCGGACACTCCCTTCGGCGGACACTTTTTCTAAAACATTCAATCGGTGTATGAAGTATTTAAGTATCCCCAAGGGAGCTTTCACTCTATATGTAATAATTTTAAACTTCAACAAATCCAATTAAATTCCAAAATCCATATAAAGTAAATGTGTGGTCGACTTCATATTGTGACGAATTACTTTCGTTCGAATTCCTCAATATACATACTATTATGTACAGGGTGCGCCATCTTTTATGTCGGTATGCAAACATTGAATATCCTTGAAAATAAACAACCGATTTTCAAGCATGAGATATTTTTATTTAATTTGGTTCTGTACAATTTCTTGAACTGAGGTTTTCAACACTGGTCTACTGAAGTTAATCGGTTCACTAATGACAAAGTTATTCAATATTTACATACCGACATAAAAGATGGCGCACCCTGAATATACATACACACATACATAAGTATATGTACATATGTATGTATATAGAAAGACAATCTTTAATTTAATTTTTGTCTGTCGACATACATATGTAGGTTATAATGTGCAATACGTCATAATCTCAACCTAAAACATAAAAAAGTCTCGAAAATAATATAACAATAGTCAGAGATGTTATAAGTAGGACGACCTAACAAATTGAAATAAGAAGAGAACGCCCCTATTCCAATTGTTAGACAATAATATTACTCAAGAAAGAGAAACACAAAATATTGGAAAACTTCAACTTTAAATTAAATTAACTGTAATAGTTGAAGTTTATTTAAAAACTACAATTAAATTTAATCGAGAATTATCCTGAGACGACTCTAAAATGTTGTTTAGTTTAAAATAAAAGACATTTAGGAATTTATTAGGTAAAGGGACTCGTTTATTTATAAAGAATTTTCGCGCTTGGCTTTTAATTTATGTTTGTTAAATGTTTACAACGAAAAAAGTTGAAAATTACATTTATTTAGAATAATATTGTGTACTATACTTACAATACAATGCAGTACAATATAATAATTAAATGTCTCTCTTTTCAATATTTAATTTAAGTTTTGTTTTTAAACATCACATGGAAAGTTTTTGGTTTTATTTAAAACTTTTAAATGGCTTTTGTTTGTTTGTTTTGTTTGTTTGTTTGTTGGTTTTAATTTTTATTAGCCTAGGAAAAAATTATCTAGTCCACAAAAGCTATAGACTAGATCAAGACCTGTTTATAAATTTCATATAATAACTACCATCGATTCATATGTTGTAGACTGAGGGCATAGTTGCGATTTGTTTGGTTTGTTTGGTTGTGGGTTTAGCTTGGATTGGCTATAAATACATTCGATCGAGTGGTTCGTCTATATGTTTTTGTGTACATAACATAGTACTATACATATGTATGTGTAAATAATGCGATTCGATTTACTTGTTAGTTGTTGTTCTTGTTGTTGTACAATTTTGCAGCGATGCTTTGAAGATGCTTTGCAGCTGCAATATCATTTGGTTAGAGGTCTGTAAATATCATCGTTTCCTATATGTATGTATATGTATATAGTAGGTATGAGTATGGGTATATATCGTACGTGTGTATGTAAATCGAGTGGTATAAGAGTGTAACTGTAAATTGTACTTAGAGACTAACTACACGAGACATGCCACGCCCACACCCTGGCACACGTAAAAGGGTGCGCGAGGGGCGGGGTTGCTGTAAAATGTTCCTTGAGCCTATATATCGTCCGTTTTGGCATCTCCTAGGCTGAAAAAAATCCATCAAAATGCATCTTTCTAACTACATACACATACGAGTACATTTGCTTCCTTATTTGGCATTATCTAAGAGAGGTCGAGAGTTTTGCGTTTTTGGAAAACGTTGATTTGGCCTTAAACTTTGGTAGATTTGGTAACTTCGGTTGGGTATCCTTTGAGTGTTTCTCTCTGTGTGTGTGTGAGTGTGTGTGTGTGTGTGGGTGTGTAATACTACTGTCTGACGGACAAATAATTTGCACCCAAATTCCTCAGATAGGGGTGTGTCGAAGCACACACTTCATTGCAAATAGTTTGCCTGTCTGACCATAGCGTAAAAGGTACATGAAAAGATTGTTTGACGACAGCGACTTCTACACCAACTACCCGAACTGTACGACCTTCGATCTATGCCGCCGCGACTGTAGCCTGGCTGGCATTGGAAGCCGCACCAGTCGGCGTCAAGGCAGCTGCAATCACGCCAGCCACAGCCACCGTGGCTGGGACTGGGGCTGTACTTAGATCTACGCTCCATGGATGCACCATGTCGTAGTACTTGCTGAAGTCGTAGTCGAACAGCTCGAAGTCGATGCGATATATCTTGAGCAATTGGTCCAATGTTGAGCGTTCCAGTTCGGAGAAGTAGCGCTCCACGAGCGCCTCCGTCTTGACGCCACTCCTCGCCTGATTGCCAATCTTGCGCAGCTTTCGTTGCGGCAACTTGCCCAGCAGCAGCGACTCGAGACCAGCCTGCCGTATAATGAACTCCGAGTCGCGCTGAAACGTCTCCACCTTGCCAATGATGCTGAAGTTGACGCTGCAGGGAGTACAGAAGCTGTACACTGGCGCCCAGTGCTCATCAAAGCGCTTTCCCTCCGCATGCTCGGCTATGAGGAAGCGCACAAACTCTTCAAAGGTGGGACCACAGCGAGGCCAGGGTCCACCCAGGCTATGACGGCGATACTTATGCACTATCTTTGTGCCCAATGCCTTGTAGAAGGAGTTGCGATTCCCCTCCAGCTTGTTCCTATAGGCGCTCACGATGCGCTCGAAGGGATCGCGCACAAAGAAGAAGGATAGAGCACTTGGCAGCAATTCCAGCAACTCGGGGAGCTCCGGGCGGGGAAAGCGTTTGCGCGCCAACTCCAACGGCTGAGTCTCTGTGCGTTGCAAATACTTCAGATCGTAGCCAGCTGTGGAAATGAAGAACATTACTAACATTGCTATCAGCCACAATTTAGATTATAGACTAGACAAAGGCCACTTATTTCCTTTGCGATTATAAGTAAGAACACAGTCAGATAATCGCGCTCTCTTTATCCGACTTTGTTTCCCAAATACCTTTCCCAAAACTAGCTTTTTTCAATACAAAATATCAATTATCGATTATCAATATTTGATTTTATAAAACAGCATTCAATTAATTTCTCTCTATATCCTGGGGATATAGGCGGTGCAGACCCTCCAAATATTCTCGATAAGACGATGGATTCCGTATGGCTTCCGGACATCCATCTTTAAATAAACTTTGGCAGCTGTGTGACGTGTAGAACCGACTTTGATAATACTACTTGTACAAAAATATATACTTGATTACAACGATTTTGAATATCATGAGACCCTATACATTATAAATACAATATTTTGTTAAGATATCCTCCTTCACAAGAAGTTATCCCACTAATAGTCCATATTGATTTGTCCCAACATCCTCATCCTGCTATAGGACGCAAGCTGACATGCTCCCCAAATTACCGAATCGACCAACAACGGATGTTGCACTTTTCAAGCTCTATGCCATCCATAGACATGATAGCGTCCCACTGTTAGTTGTTGTTTTAAAGCTGTACGCATCAACCGTTGTACCAATAGGGTAAAATGATATACTAGTGTTTGTAACATCTATGTAGTGAGGTCCATCTCTGAAAGGGCATGTCGATATAGTCTTGTCCAACTGCCCGTCTGTCCATCGCTCTGTATAGATGCAGGGAACTCAAACTTTCGATGCGTATTCCCTTAACTCCAAGAAGGAAGGTTTGTGTTCTTTTTTCTCCAATGTCCCCTCCATTGCCACCGCTGTTTGTGAATTCTCTAACTCTCGTAGTTCTGCATATTTGTAAGTTATAGCAATAAGTTGAATCTCTTCCAGAAATAGTTGTGGTTTTTTCATTGCCCACAATCGAAAAGTCACAAATACTACGATGGAAAGTGATGCTATTAAAATGTACATACAAGGTGCGTTCGAAAGTAAACAGGACTTTTTGAATCTAGCGCCCCCTGGTGGCGCTATCTATATGTCGACTGGAGCGTTAGAATATGCTATCTTTATCGATTGTACAGTGAGAATTTCATGACATTCCATCGATTGGAAGTGAAGTTATTGCGTTTTAAGTGTCAGTATGTATGTGTTATCGAAATGGAAATTGAAATGGAATTGAAAATTTCCAAAACATCGATTTATCGCATTTTGACCGAACATTTGGGCTTACGAAAGGTGTGTGCACGGTTTGTTCCGCACAAATTGACTGACGACCAAAAATTGTTCAGACGATCGACGCTTGTGACCGATTATTTGACCAAAAATCACATTTTAACCATTAACCACTCGCCGTATTCACCTGATATGGCACCGTGCGACTTCTGCCTTTTCGGAAAACTACATTTGGCCATGAAAGGAAAGCGTTATGCAGCCGTAGAGGCCATTCAAAAGGGAACACTCCTTGTATGTAGGTGTAGAAAATTGCGAGAATTTTTGATCCGCATCTGATTTGGAAGTTGCGGAATCAGACATGTTTTTATTAATTTTTTCCTCTTTTTTCTCTAAATATTGTTAGAGGAAGCAGTCACAAAAATTGATAGGCTTCCCTTCTTTTTGGGAATCTATTTTTCACAGTCAAGAAATTTCATGAGGGCGTCTACGAAAATACCACAATGGTTATGGATTAGGGAAGATGACCAGCACAGTGCTGGAGGACCAAGTGTGGTGGATGATGTCATATTTTGCAATGAGTCAAAAGTGATGCTACATTACAGCGATAGTCCAACTAGAGGGGTAGGTTGTACTCCCTTAAAAGTACTTGACTAAAGAACTTTATTCCCACCGTGACTTCAAAGTGCTTTTAGTCATGATTTCAAATCGAAATAATGAAAAAAAGAAGCAATAGGTATTCCTAAATAGGTAGTAGAAAACTGGGCTTTAATATACAAACCCGTTATTGAACATTTGATTAGTTCAATGGCTCTAAGGTAGCTCTGGTTTGTACTTGTAAATGTAACCATTCGGGTAACTACAAGTATGTTACACCATAACATAATTGGTATACTCGCTATAGAAGAGGCTGCAAAACATACCAAATATTAAAAGTCATACTTTGCAGTCTAATTCCGACATCAAATGGTGTTTCTGAGTTAAATAGTACCGCTCAATAGTAAATAAAGCAAACAATACATGGAAACTAACCAATTCTGTCACGCCCTACAAATATAATTTATGGAGAAAGAGAGAAAAAAAATTTACAAGTATATCGCTACATAAAAACCCTTTCTTTACAAACTGTATATATGTAGATTTAGATTGAATCCGCTATTATTGTATGTATATTTATTTGGTGGATCTGCCTTTTTCAATGTTTTGGAGACTTATTATTATACCCCGTACCGCACCCGTAAAAAAGTATACTAGTTTATTGCGAATGTATGTAACACAAAGAAGGAGGCGTGGCAGACCCCACAAAGTATATACGTATGTACTTATACTCTTCATCAGGATAAAAGGAGGAGTCGATATTCCCATGTCCGTCTGTATGAGCTTAGGGATATCAGCAAGTAAAAGAACTAGAATAACCAAACTTTAAGTCCAGGTTCCCCTAAGCCCCAGATAAATCAAGTTTGTTTTTTTCTGATTTACCATAACTCCCGTAATTCATAGAATTTTTAAATCAAATTGAAATATCCTGTACCCAGACAAACTTCCTGCTTTGAGTTATACAAGTATGTGCCCAGCAGAAGAAGAAGACCGAATTTGATGTTGCATCTTGTCGGCGTAATACTAGAGCGAAATTCTTCTCTATATATATGTATAAAACAGTTTGTCTTGGCTGACTGACTGACTGATTGCCCAACCGGTAAGAGCTAGGAAGATGAAATTTGGACAGAAGATACACTCCTCGCCACTTGAATAGGACACCCCTTATGTCTGTTTTCTATCGCCCTAAGAAGGAGTTTTGGAAAATTCGAACTCCAAAGGGGGGAAACGCGCTTCAACGTTTGTATGAAAAATCTATAATCTTTATCCGATTAAGTTTGTATAAAGAATACAAGAAAAACTGTATACTTGGTTTTTCGCTATTTTTCCTGGGGCCAGAATTATAGGAATTTTCCGGTGGAAAAATCGGGACGCGAAAAGCTATCCGCAGTCAACGCACAGGCCAAACGGTAAGAGTATTGTGTGCAAAGTTTGGTTTATGTAGTTTTTTTTTGAAATGTGGACAGTATTGAAATTCTGTAGCGTGGGAAGGGGAGGGAAAATGAAAAACCTAAAATAAACTCGTGTAGGCTAGGAACTTGGAGCGTCTATATACCAAGTTTGTTTAATGTGCGCTCAAACGTTTCCGAAATCCAGGCGTTCATCCAGACGGACATGTCTACATCTATTTCTCTCGTCATGCTGATCAAGAATTTATATACTTTATGGGGTCGGAGATGCTTCCTTCGGCCGGTTACATACTTTGCACAAACCTAACATACCCTTTTTACCCTACGGGTACAGGGTTTAAAAATCGAATAAAACAATTTTTTTTTTTTTTTTGAGTGATTACAGGGTATTTAAGAGTTGAGCCCGTTCGACTAAAGCATTCCTTTCTTCTCTTTGTAATTATCTAAGTTTTTTCGGGATTACTAGCTAAGTAGTTTACTTTTCGAAATGAAGAAAATCCGCCTGCCAACCCACAAAGCTCTCTATCTTTTCTCCATTTCCAGTCTACCGTATTTATATCGACTGACAAGATACTCCGCCTTAATAAAACTGAAGCCAAAGGACACCCGACTCACCAAGTATGTTAAAGTAGTACATCCAGGTGCTGCTGGCCGCTTTGAAGACGTTGCACCACACCAGATTGTGGCCGGGCGATACGAAGAACTCCCATGGGTTCGGTGGGTATTGTTCCTGGAGCTTGTAGCGCTCGCAGACAGCTGCCAGATGATCGCGACGTTGCTGCAATACGCGCTCCGTGCAGGTGTGCAGCTCCTCCGAGTATTCGTAGACAGGGTTAAGTGTGGTGGGTGGGGTTGCGACTATTGTTGCCAGGACATTGGTGACATTTTTGAGCTTGGAGCTCTGCTGCTGTTGTTGTTGCTTGAGCAAGCGCTGGCGCTGCATTTGTTGCCGCTTGAGCTTCAATTGCTGCTTAGATTGTGCTCCATACTCGCCCGACTCAGCCTCATTCTCAGCGGTGGCCACACGCTCCTTGTTCTGCTCGTAGGCGTTCAAGGACTCGCGAAATAGAAAGGCAAAGTAGCAGAGGCCGACGAGTATGCAGGCGCCAATCTTCAGATAGGTCTGTAGGCGTCGTCCATAGCGCAGACGCAAGAGCATGGTAGCACAGATTGAGGATCCTTCACGCTTATGGCGATTTATGGTCGTTTTTAAATATGTAATCCTCCCGCTTCTATTGTCTCTGGCCGACTAAAGGAGCGTCCAGTCGACAGCTACATGTTCACGCACCCCAGTTGGGCTGCAATGAAAATTTTTAAAAGGGTTAGGCTCAGCACAAAATTTATTTTTAATGCGCTCAGTTGGGTCCTTTGGGAGGCCCCATTCAATGGCCACACCCACAGCCCCCACCCGCCCGCTGGCGCCAGCCACCACTAGGCTAGCCGCAATGTTTTGCTTTTCCTCAGCAACAACCCCTATTCTTATGTTCATGTTTTTTCTGTTTTTTTTTTTGACGACACTTGTTGGTGTGTACATAGCCAGGCAGTTGGCGAACTACGTCACATTTCAAACACACAAACACACACGCACATGCACACTTGGAAAGTAGGACGTCATCCTTAAGCAGCAGCAGCCAGTGCTTGTTTTCGTTGTTCTTGTTAACTAGTTGGTTTATTATCCTTTGCTTCGCTTACACATTTGCTTAAAAGTTTTAACTGGGCCTTTGGGACCTCTTGACCAAACTACTTGTATTCAGAGCCCGTCCTGCTGACCCATTCCGAATTGAATTGTTTGCATTGCTCTTTACCGTTATTTGAGCACTTGTCGACACTTGGCCATATGTCCAGAGTAATGAACACATATGAACATCTGCCACATGCCTTTTATTTAAACAATTTCCAGCCCAAAAGTCGGCTCTTTTGTTTGCAAACTCTACAGTCTCTATACTGCGCCAATGCTAAGTATTTACGTATGTATGCGAGTGTGTGTGTGTGTTTGTGTGTGTGTGTATGGGTAAGTACCTAACGGTGACGCGCGGCGGGCGTTTACTTTGGGGCTCCGTATGTATCCACCGTATGCCCCCCACCTGGCGCGCTCTAACGTGTTGCTTTTTTGTTTTCTGCTGCTTGGTCGCTCCGCTCTGTCGTGCCGCTCGCGACGGATTCACGCTCTCAACTGACAGGATGTCTGTTGTTCCTTTCACTGAGTCCAACTCGAATCGAGCCGACTGTGCTTCGTGCTCGGACTTTGCTCGGTCTAGTGGAAGGAGTAATGCGCAGGCGTCGTGAGCGAAGAAGTGCGGCTTGCCGCTTGCAGCAACAGCTTAAGAAAATTTACAATTTTGAGAATCTAAGATCATACCACGTTCTAGAATTAGGAAATCCGACATCGATTTAAAAATATAATTTTAAAACACATATTTATCATCCATAATGTGAAAGTCCGCAGGAATATAATTCTTCAAGTCGAATGGCTGGCAAGCGCTACGCAAGAAGTCTACGGCACATTTTTCTACTTTTCAACCCAATACTGTATAACTTTCTAGGAATATCTAAATAACTACTAAGCTACTCCTAAACAACGAATTGCCTACATATATAACGTTTTAATACGATGGCCCAAAGTATAGAAATTTTCCAATGTATATCAAAACTCTAAAAAAAAAATAGGCAATATAATTCCTTGAAACGCAGGAGAGTATTTCTATGTTTTTCAAATAAAAATTTATTGCTCCAAATTAATAGACATACAATTATAAATAATAAAAGCTCCAAGTAAAGCAGAGAATTATATTAGTGGTATTAGATAGAAGTGAAACTTAGTGGTTATATTGGAGTAATATAATTTGAGCGAATGTTTTTAGATTGATGTCTTTATAAATATTTATCAATAATTGTTGGTCAATGAAAGTTTGGCTTGAAAAGAATGGCTAGAAAATGGTAATCGCTGTCGGTTTTCGAAGAAAGTGGTTGGAAACACAACTATAAGTAGAAAAAACGCTAGAAAATCCACTACAAATTCATAGAAAAATCGCTGGAAAACGGCTTGAAACACCGCTTTAAATAGTTATAAGACCCGCTTAAAAATTGATAGCTGCCTGTCCAACTTTCAAGAGCTTCAGAAAACGTAGTTTTATTTCCATTAAAAATATTCCTGGAGTCCGGCGAAAGCCACAAGGAACGGCGACTCTTAAAAATCAGGACCTACCCATCAGGTGGACAAATAAGCTGAAGGCAAATCAACTGCTGACGATTGTGTGTATACTCTACAATTAGGCTGGTGCCGTCATGTGTTGTGAAATATGACCAATAGCAGAACACCAAGATTGTTTACATTTCAGATTGTACCGTTAGGTTCTTGCACGCATCTTCATACCACAGCTGATTTTTGTTTACATTCATAATTGCAATTATGCCAGCTGGGCTACTTGCTGTTTATTTTTGTGCGCCTGTTACCATGCTTTTAGTGTACTTGAAAAACGTAGCTCTGCTTGGCCATCAAAAATATTTCTTTATAAATCATATAACCTAACAGGTATTGAAGGGCGTATGCAGGGGGACCTTTGCCCCCCTTGAAACAATGTTTCAATATGAAGTGGACCACACATTCATTATTGTGGCGTATATTTCGCCTTGAAATGGAACTGAGTTGGATTTACAGAAGTTTATTATTGATATGCATAAATTATTATTTTAACGCATCGCAAATTCAAAATTTTTATTTGTTGGGACCCCCCTTTGGAAAAAGCTTTGTACGCCCTTGCAGGTAGTCATAAAAAAGCAGAAGCAAATCAACTGTTGACGATTTCTCAGTCATTACGGCTGAACTTTGGAATAGCTGTGCCTGTCGTTTCTCATTTTCTGCATACATGCAGGTATGCTTTTTATATGTATCGTAAATAGATCTGTCTGTCTGTCTGTATGAACGCCTGGATTACGGAAACAGCTGAGCCCACGTTAACCAAACTTGCAAAATAGACTCTCCTAAATATTTTATTTTTTCCCCTTCCCCGCTGCAAAATTTATTCAATTGTGTACAAATTCAAAGTTACATACTTACATCTCTGAATACCTAATTAAGATATAATTGCCCACGTAATTTCCATTATTTTAAAAGTTATTAGCAAAACCATTTCATTCCAGTACCAAGCCCAAGAACTGCAGCATCGAGCTCGCTCCTCTTCTTCTCATTTAGCACAGCGGCAGAAGTTCTTTTGGGTACAGGGTATTTCCCTGTCGGGATTACTTGACTGTAACATTCTATGTTGTTATCATATTAACCCACGCATAAGCATTAATATTATGCTTTGCTAATAGAATCCCAACGCTGGTTTTTCTTCAGTATATTAAATCTTTGTATTTTCTTTTTCTATAAATATTTACTTTAAAGTACAAACAAATTATTAATAATAAACTTCTAATACTACGTTTTAAGACACTTTCGTTTTTTGTTGTTGTTCTTCATGTGTTGTGTTGCTTCATGTAATGCATATATATATATATAAATATATATGCATATATATATTTATATATATAATATATATATGTATTTTTATACGCTTTATACAGTTGTTATTACATTTTGTTTATATTTTTCTCTCGGTAATTTTCGGTTTAATGCTGCTTGTGTATATGTGTAGGTGTGTGGGTGTGTACGTGAAACAGCTAAATAAGGTTTACTAAATATTCTTAAAATTTGTTTTTGCACATCTTTTGTATTTATTACGGGTTTGCATTTGCTTCAATGATCTTGCATTGTTTATATATTTCTGTTATTTCTGTCGCAGTTATTCTAAAGGGGATTGGTTTTACACAATTGCATATTTCTTTTGTTTTCTTTCTGCTTGCTTTAAAGTAAACACATGTACAAAGTATGAAAAATTATGTTTTATAGCAATCATACAATATGTATAATATAATAATAATAATAATGAACAATTCATATGTGTGAAGAAATATATATATATATATATATATATATATATATATATTTATGTATATATATGTTGTTTGTGTTTGTTTAGCGCTTTGTCTTTGCTTGGTTTTCATTTACGTTCATGTTCTTTTCCCTTATTTGTTCAAATAACATTTAGCAAAAATAGAGCATGCCTTATTTACAATACAACGTTTGTTTATGTGCCTTATATACAATACAACTTTATGCGATTTCTTTTTATATTTCGTTCGGTTTTTCTCTTTTTTTTGTTTTTTTTTTTTTTCTTTTTCTTTTCTATTTTATGTATGCAAAATATATAACATTATATACGGCTCCGTTTTTTCTATGTAGATATATATGTTTCTCGACAAACACTATGCGACTGTTTAATGTTGTCTTGCATAACTCTTTCTTTTTTTTGCGTGCTTGGCCTTTTTGTTTTTAAATTTTTGACTAACTTATTGCATAGTATTCCATGTGCATCATATTATGGATTGGGGCTTGGGGTTGAATTTGTTTATATATATTAATTGGCTTACAATGTAAAAGAGCATTTAAAACTAAAAAACAAAGTTTCAAAATAACGCAAGCTTACGTCAAACTAACATGCTATTTATCATTTTTCTTTCTTTTTTTTTTGCTTTAAATTATAAAAAACATACGAACTGTTTCTTGCATTATTTTATATTACTTTAGACTTAGCGCAGCATGTTAAATCAAAAAATTAAACCTAAAAACGTGTTCATGTTGCGTTTCATAAGCACTTTACATACATATGTACAAAGAAGAACTTTCAAAAACTTAAAAATCATTCACGATTCGGGGGGAGTAATTGCTGTTTTGCTTAAGGATTTCTTCTGTTAGCTACTTTGCCTAGTGGTTTAATCATTTTTCAATTCAATATTCTGTTCTGTACGCACTCTTTTTCAATGAATTTGTTCAAATATCATTTGGAGCTATGCGAAAAAATTTCCTGTTACACTTGACTAGCAAATCATTTTTTTTACCAATGATGGGGTGACGGAATGGGGGGGGGGGGGGGAAGTAGTTTTAGTTGAAGATTAAAGTGCTCACATGCGTAATACGTTATTATGCATGTTCATGTCCAGATCGAATAATGCATGTGTGGGTTTGTGGGTGAAATCTGTGTGTCGGTGTGGGTGTGTGTGTATGATGTTGCCCATTAAGAGATGCAACATTATTGCAACATTTTGCTACAACTAACTGTACAAACTGTTTAAAGTAAATAAAGTCTAAAAACAAAGGGAGCTACGAACGCAAGTAGAAAGTAGAAGAATTGATGAGAGTGCTATATACAGAGTCAAAAGAAGTTGTGTATGGGTGTGTGTGTGTGTATTAGTAGAGAGTTGCAAAACAATTCAGTAGCTAAATAATGGCCCGAGAACAGCCCCTACGCCAACTGTGAAGAGCTACTGCTAGCGGAGCGTTCATCGAGGGCAGCCGCTGTCATTGTCATAGTCACTGCGCCGCCAGCCTCACTGCCAAACTCCTGGAAACTCAGACCCAGCTCATTGTTTAGCTGCACCATGTTCAACACATCGCTTGCATTGCGCCAACGATGCCGACGCTCTGCTGTCTCTTTGTCTCTGGTCGTGGTAGTGTTGCTGCTGCTGCTACTGGCATCCGCCGGAACATTGTTGTCGTCCTCATCGTCGCTTAAAATGTTATTTAAACACAAATTGAACTCATCGTAGTCCACAAAACTGCCACAATCCAAGGCCGCGCCACTGGTCAGCTCCGGCATTAGCAGACTGACCGTCTCTGCAACGCTCCCGCTGCTGTGGTAGGTCAATAAATGATCCGGTTCCTCCACATAGCCGCCGGCAATGCTATTCTCTAGAAGCGTGTCTGCATTACTGCCGCAAGTCTCGATTAGACTAAGCGCTGGGGAGTGCTCATCCAACAGCTCCAGGCCGCAAGCCGCATTTTGTTCCATTGCTGTTAGCGTTGCTCCTGTTAGCTCTGTTGCTGTTACATCATCCTCGTCATCGACACAATCATCAACAACATCGTCGTTGCCCTCAATGTGGTCGTCGTTCACGTCGTCGTCGTCGTCATCGGTTTGCGCCTCGGCCAAAGGGACAGTTTCATATTCGATCAATTCTATAAATTCGATCTCATCGTTGTTATTCAGCAGCTCGTCTTCGTCGCTCGCTTCGTTTATACCTTCAGCCAAGGCGCAAAACTCTGGTCACTTGTAGTCTCGCGAAGCTCTTCTCCGCCGTCCCTCAGTCAACATAGACTCCCCAATAACTGCAATACAGAAGCGAGAATTTTCATTTCATAAGCCTTCATAATATAGATGCCTTCACACATAATTACATATATTCTTGCTGAATCAACATTTTGCATTACCAAGAATACTCCTTTTGCAAATATTTGTATACAATTTTACTAATTTTACAAATATTGTACGGAAATAAGTTTTTTTTGGCATATACTTGTCTGAAATTGTTTCAATTCAATCATCTTTCATTATTGTTATCTAATGTTGAACAAAGTCTACTAAGTGTGATTCCAACTCTTATCAATTCGGATATGTTTGCGTCATACAGACAGACAGGCGACTATTATATTGCTTTTAGCATTACCATTGTCTATTAAATATTTTTGACAACTTACCTGCACTGCGTGTCTTGCGTCGTGCCTCAGCGACGCTCTCAACGCTTCCAATAGCATTGCTGGAGTTGGTTTTGCCGGGCGTGCCTTTAGGCTCGGCGGCAGCGGCGGCTGCTTGTGCAGCGGCAAGCGCATTACTCCGACTATAAATGATTTTGTTGGCCGCTGCGCTGGCGCGGACGCTACGGCGTGTGCCAATCTTTTCATCAGTAGGCGAGGTGGCGTTACTACCACTGTTGTTGTTGTTATTGGTGGTGGTAGTCCCCGCAGCAGCAGCCGTAGCACCACGTGTAGCATGCACAATATTTGTTACTGTTCCTGCGACTATTGTGCCGACTGGACTGTTGCTTGTTGCAGTTGTGGTTGTTCCTGTTGTTGTTGGTCCTCCTACATTGCTGGCAACGCTTGTGGACAACATTTGGCAAGCATTGTTGTTGTTACTGCTGTTGACATGCGCAGTTGTTGTCGATCCGATGGCACTGTGGTTGTTATTGTTGTTGTTGCCAGCGACATGTTGTGTTTTTCCAGACTTGTTGGATTGTGCGGACGAGGCATTCAATGCATTTCCGTTGCTACTGTTGTTGTTGGTGCTGTTGCTGGCAGGTGTGTGTGCTTCTGTGGAATAGTAGCATTTAGTACGATGACGGTTGGCTTAGTTGCAGGTCTACTTACTTGGCTGTTGTTGGTGGTGCTGCTGCTGCTGGTGGGCATTGCGACTATTTCGCGTTACGTGCTTCTCAATGATCGATTCTGGCTCTGTCGGACCCATTACCAGCACTTGTGCCTTTGAATTGCGCACTTTTCCAGCGACTTCGATTAGCGGCTCGTCTGAGTCAGAGGATTCTATATCCACCTTCTTAGCCAGTACATGATTGGAGAGTTGTGTTGTTGTTGCTGGCGTTGCTTCAATTTCTAACACACCGATGTTACTGTGGTTGTTGCTGCCACTGCCACTGCTCAGACGCGTGCGCTTGTTGCCTTCAACATCATTCACATCAGTGCTGTTGCTGTTGCTGCCACTCTCGGACTCTTGACGACGACGCTTATTAATGCTGTTGTTATTATTGTTGTTGTTATTGACAGTGGCTACTCCACAAGCTGGAGGAGTAGGCGTTCCGTGTCGCGGACTAGGATTTGCAGCAGCTCGAGTCACATTCTTGTTGATCAGCAATGTTGTGGTGCAGTTTGTCGCCGACGTTGTCGTTGATGTTGTTGTTGCAGATGTTACTGAGGAATCGCCAGTCGCTGGACTACACTTGGCCGCATCGAGCGGACTCTCGAGGCGACTGCTGGCACGCGTGCGTTTGCGCGGCAATTCGGCATCTGACTGAGCTGGAATTTCAATCGAGATGGGCGGCAATGAAGCTCCCGCCGACTGCTGCTGTTGCTGCTCTTCCTTTTCATCCTTCTCGCATGGTTTGCTAGTCGCCGTCGCCGTCGCTGGTTTATCCTCCACTTTAATAGGCAGAGCATTATCTGCATTAGCCAGCTTTGTTTCGGCGGCCATTTTTGCATTATTGCTCTTATCGTCAGTGGTAGTTGTTTGTTCCTTTTTTATAGACATCAGTGCTGGTAGCTGATCCAGTTTAATCTTCTCCAGCTTCACCTTGGCCTCCGTCTTGATTTCAACTACTTTTGCTGAGGTTGTGGTTACGGCAGTGGCAACAATGGCTGTTGTAACTGATGTGACTGGTGCTGATGTGGCCAGTGGTTTCTTGCTGTCCAGATTCACTTTCCCGTGGTCAGCCTCTTTATTGTCTGTCAAGTTTTTGATGAGATCATCGTGTTCGAGAATATCGTGCTCCCCATTCATCTTGGCGGTGTCGAATTTAAAATCTGAGCTCTTTTGCACACACTCCCTAATATTTGTGGGCTCTTCTGAGAAGTCGCCTTCCATTTTTGCGAGCGCTTTCTCAATTTCATCATCGGCACTCTGCAATTGATTCTGCTGCTGGTGCTGCTGTTGTTGCAACTTGGTTTGTGGCGCATCCATGGTTGCCGTTGTTGCCGTTGCTATTGCAGTTGTTGTTGCCACTGCAACGGCAGCTGTGGTCGTCATTGCCGATGTTATCGTAATAGTGGCCGCATTGGCCTTACTAACTAGCAGCTGTTGTTGCTGTTGTATGGGGCTGCTGGATGAGAGCTGGTGGGGGCTCTTTTCGGAAAGCGCATCCATTGATTCGATGCCGCTGTCTTCACCACCGCCATTATTCCCATGCCCTGGCGTACCGCTGCCATTGCTGGCCGGTGAATTCCGCAACGTAGACACCAGCGAGGCTGGGGATGATGTTGTTCCCGCTGTTGTTGCCATAATGGTTGTATTGCTGGACTTTGGCGGCGCCGTTGTCACTACAGTTGCTACAGAGCCACTGCTACTGGTGCTGCTTGTGGCCGTGTACGTGTCCTGGGCGTTGTTGGTGGCCGTCGTTAGGGCGGGAACTTTTCTATCACAGAGCAGAGTTGTTGTCGTAGCCGTTATGGTGGCTGGCATGGTTGTTATGGTGGCACTTGAGGCTGGACAGACTTCGTGCACCTGGGTGGTTGCTGGCATTGGTTGCACTACTTTGGGTATCTCTACACGCTTCAAAGTCGTCGCACTGGGCAACATAGTAACTGCCGCCGCCAGTTGTTGTTGTTGCTGTTGCTTCTGCATCTGCAACTGTTGCACGGCGGTGAAGTATGGCGGCGGCTTATGGTTTTTTGTAATCGGCTTACCACCCACAATGGGCGTTATAGTGGCCGCAGTCTTGGTATTTTTAAGCGTCAGATTGCCCATCACACGTTGTGGGCCATTGCCAGTGCCATTATTATTGTTATTATTAGTAGTGATGGCGCTTAGCGTTATGCTGCTCGGCAGCGAGGTGGCAATTTTGGTTAGCTGCTGTTGCTGCAACGTTGCCGATGTCTGCTGCTGCTGATGTTGCTGCGTGGCTAACTGTGGTATCGTACCAATATTGGTGGAGCCAACAGTTAGAAGCTGAGCATCGCCACTAGCCTTGTGCGCCTCCACAATAGCGCTAATGGTTAGCCCATTCTTGGCCGCCACAATTGTTGTTGTCTTAGCTCCAGTCTGCTGTTGTTGTTGTTGCTGCTGCTGCTTGGCTAAGACTGCAGCGGCCGGATGTGGAGGTGGAGGCCCTTGCTGCTGTTGTTGTTGTTGTTGCTGACCCGGTGTAGTTATTGTCTTCTGAATAAGAAGCGCAGCATTGGGCCCGCCATTTAAGTGCGTCAGCTTAGGTTGTTTCGCCTCTGTGGCTCCATCCAATGGCAACAAAGTAGCCGATTGCTGCTGTTGTTGTTGCTGCTGCTGTTCGCTGTAACTGCGCTTCAACTGACGTATTTTGTGCTCCTCTTCCGAGCTGGCCTCTGCAATGCCCGCACTTTGTGCCGTCGACGGCTTCTTACGATCCTTACGCGTAGCCTTGACCACCATTGAGTTCTTTCCACGCAAACGAATTTGCAGGGGTGGCACACGGAGCTCATTTATGCCAGGGGAAGCTCCACCGACATGTTGTTGCTGCTGCTGCTGCTGTTGCAAGGACTGTTGTGAAAAATTGCTGTACACTGGATGATGTTGTTGCTGGGGTTGCTGGAGCTGTTGCTGCTGCTGCTGTTTCTGTTGTTGTGGATGTTGCACCAGCTGCGTTTGCGACAATTGTTGCTGTTGTTGCGTTGACAAATGATTATTTGTATTTTGTTGATGGTGCTGTTGTTGTTGTGGCTGCTGTGGGTGTTGCTGTTGCTCAAACGTTGACATATCGACCTTGTATGCTGTCGTTACTGGCTCCGATTTTTCTAGCTTGAGTCGCAGTTTAATTTTCTCCTCTGCGACAGCTGCAGTTGTGGCCGCCGATGCTACTGTCGGAGTTGTGGTCTTCGTCTTGGCATTGGCCTTTGCACGCTCCCTTTTCGGTTTCGGTGTGGTCGTCACATCCTTAATCTTGCGCTCCTTTACACCTTGCTGCAGTTTCTCACGCAACAGATTCGGCTTTGCTTTTTTATTGCTGCCAGCAGCGCTAACGGGCGAGCTCATGCCACCAATAAGCGGCGAACTGTTGCTGGATCGTGGAGAATTTGCAGCCAAGTTATCGCTAGTGATCAGCTTGATCTGCTGTTGTTGTTGTGTGGCTGTGTGATTCGCCTTGTTATTTTTACGGGCCCGATTCGATTTGTTAGATGCCAGTGAATCACGAGAGCGCTCTTGATCGCTGCCTGCTAGTGGCAACTGCTGCCCAGACATGGCCGAGTTAGAGTCCTCTTCTGAAAAGAGATTGCTTGGCAGCACCATGTCGTTGGCGGGATTGAAGTTGCTAAAGTTGCTTAGGCTACTTGACATGGACCTAAATTGCAGCTGTGTAGTTTCCTGCTCCGCCTCTGTATCACTGTCATCGCTGGCCATGGGCTCCATGTCGCCGGTGTGCGGATTGATAATGAATTGCTTTTGCTGGGCATTTGAGGTGCGGTTCTGGTTAGATGTCATATGTTGCAACTGCTGTTGTTGCTGTTGCAGCTGCAATTGTTTATTTTGCACTGAAAACTGGGCACTAGTAACCATTTGCTGTTGTTGCTGCTGTTGCGAACGCTGCATCTGCACCACTTGTTGCTGCTGTTGTTGCAATTGGCGCTGCAGTTGTTGTCGCTGCTGCAACTGCAATTGCTGTGGCAACTGCTGTTGCTGACGCTGCAGAATCATTTGATGTTGCTGTAGAGGAGATAACTGCTGCTGATACTGCAACGGCGCACCTTGATTCATGACCATAATATGTTGCTGCTGTTGTTGTTGTTGTTGCTGCTGCTGCTGTTGCTGCGAATTTGCATTGTCAATGGGACCGTCCTGCAGCGTGTTGAGTGCATCACCCACATCCATGCCGACAGCTGACAAATTATCTTCGATTAAATCCAAATCAAGATCCTTGGCATCTTGTAGCAATGATTCGAGCTCATTTTTATCTTCAAGACTAAGCGTCGAGTCGAGATCACAGTTAAGAGTTGGCAGTAATGCATCCAAATCGTTTGCGGTTAAGGCGTCTAAATCGAATGGATCAGCTAGCCCGTTTCCATCGGCTGTCGCTGTCGTCGCCGCTTGATTCTGCACTAATTGATTCTGCTGTGGCGCAAGTTGTTGCTGTTGATTCTGCTGTTGTTGCATGTGTGTTGCTGGTTGCTGCAATTGAACCTGCTGTTGTTGTGGTTGTTGTTGCTGCTGCTGCTGCTGCATTTGTTGGCCATTCGACTGGGGCTGATTGGTTAGATTGATTTGCTGCTGTTGCAGATTGTATTGCATTTGATAGCGAGTAAACTCTTGAAAACTGCTCTTCGTGGCCGAGTCCATTGGTTTGTTAAGGGCTGGCCAGCGCGAATTCGCAGCTGCCTGATTGTAGTCTGGCGGTGGTGGCAGCGGCGCGTTCGTTGCGCCAGGTACTTGGTGCTGAAGTTGTTGGTGCTGTTGTTGTTGTTGCAAGTCGTTCGCAAGTTGCTGCTGTTGTTGTAGTTGCATTGCCACCAGCTGTTGTGGATGCGGACTATTGGTTAGTGGCGATTGCGCTGGCGTTGTCGATGGCGATAGCATTGGCGGTTGATGATTTGCCATAAGCGGACTATGCATCGAATGGTGGCTGGAGGCAGGTGAATGGGCAATGGGCGAAGCGCCACCATGAGCCATGAATTGCTGCGGCGATGCCTGCGGCATATTCATGAGCCGTTGTTGCGCTGCTTGCTGCTGTGCCTGCTGTTGTTGTTGTTGCTGCGCAAGCTGCTGAGCATGTTGCGGCAATCCGGCACGTAATTGCTGACGAATTTGCTGCTGTTGCATGGGATTGATAGGCATGTTCCCAAAGCAATCTGTATAAGATAAAGGAATATAGATTAATAACTATTGCCTTGCTGCGATCTGCATGTTATACATACCAGGCGGCTGTTGTTGCTGCTGTGCATGGAATTGCTGCTGTTGCTGTGGCGACATGAAACGCGGCTGCATGCCTTGCATTTGTTGTTGCCGCTGCAATTGTTGCTGCCGTAATGCAGCAGCCTGTTGCGGGGACATTTGTTGTTGCTGAAACCGATGTGGCGGCGGCTGCTGCTGTTGTTGTTGAGTATACAACGGGCCACTGCCACTGGGACTTAGTAGCGTCTGTTGCTGCTGCTGCTGCATAGTGCGCAACGTAACAGGACCGCCTGTTGTCGGAGACGAAGCGATACCCATGCCAGCAGGACTCAAAACATTGCCGCTACCGTCTGCAGATGTTATGAAGTCACTGGGCGTCGCTGAGGAAGAGCGCATGGGCGAACTCATCATTTGGCCAGTGGGACTCATATTTACCAACGGCGATTGTGTTGTTCCCTGTCCGGGCATTTGGGGCGACTTCATTTGATTTGTAATAGCATTGCCATCATTTTGCAGTAGGTTGACGAGTAATGGAGATGATATTGCAATATTATTGCTGCCTGTTGCTGTTGCCGTTGGTGTTGCTGTGGGCAGCGGTTGTGGCTGTGGCGTTCCTGCACCCTGGGGCACATGGTAGCTTTGCTGCACTGATTTCGTACTCGGCGCTATGGCGGGTGAATTGTTGCTATTGGCTGCATTTATATTCGAACTCGTTCCCAGGCCGGGATATGGCGGAGGCGGTGGTTGTATAAATTGAGATTTGTTGCCAGTCGTCATGTTTGCAGTTCCTGGCGTCGCCGTCGTAATGAGTTCACCGTTTTGCGGGTTCTTCAACACCTTTAACGTGACGTTAGGTGGCGGCGGACCCAGACCGCCGATCACTGAAGCCGTTGTAGGCACCGAGGAGGCACTTCCTGTGGCTATATTGCTCGTACACAATCCTGCCGACTCCCTGCCCTGTAAGACACGCGCTTGCCGCATGCTCTCGAATGGAAAATCTCTCTGAGCATTCGGCGCCCCCGTTGGCGAGGGCAGCACCGGCACCTTGCCCTCCATAGGACACACGGTGTTGGGGGATTTGAAGACAGGCGGTGTTGTAGCAGCATTGCTGTACGGTGAGGGTGGCTTTTGGGGTGGCGGTAGCTGCTGTGGCAGCTTTTGTTGTGGCAGCGGTTGGCCATTTGCTCCAAGCAGTACATTGCGTCGCTGCTGCAGTAATTGCTGTTGCTGCTGGTTTGAGATTGCATCGTTTGTTCCGGCACCGCCGAGCAAAGTATTAGGCGGAAGTTGCACAGTGCGTTGCTGTTGTTGCGGCTGCTGCTGTAGATAGGCAGCCTTGCTGGTGCTAGGGCCGTCGAAATTGGGAGCCACCAGTTGCGACGACAGACTGCCACCCGATACAGCGGCTTTGTTGGAAGACGTGCCAGCCGCCTCAATTGCACCGCCTACGTCGTTTACATTATCTGCAAATTGTTGATTGTTTTTATTTGATTTGCCAAGATAGGCGGTTTGATTACTTACCTTTTGCTATTTTAATATCTTGTCCTCCAACTTTTAAAGTTATCACAGAATCGCCTTCAGGTTGTACGGACAGAATGCCGAGGGCACGCAATGCAGGATTGCCCTCGGCCGCCAGTTGGCGCAGTCGTTGCGCTGCATCCCATGGGAGAGACACCGATATCCGCACAGACGGTTCAATCTGCTGCAAAGTGTACGGCTCATTATACATTTGCATTGGAAATTTCTACATTTAAGGAAGCAGGAATCGGAGAAATCGCTAGAGGTGTGTGATACACGATATATTTTCATTTATCGTGCTTCGATGTTATCGAACATTAGTTGTGTGTCGGTAGCCCTGAGGCTTTGGAAAAATGCATAAACGCACTAAATGCATTTTGCACGACTGATTATTAGCTTTGATTATTACGCATAAACAGCACCCAAAATTATTCCATCCTATTTGCTGTTGTATATGTGTGAAAGTAGTGGTACAAACGACGGACAGTCAAAACCAATTAAACTTTTTGACGTTTCTGTTGTGTGCTGCTGCTTCGTAATGTGTGAGAAGGACAACTATATTAGCGTCCGCATTGGAAATTCCAACAACAACTTATTTCAACAACAGGAATAATGTATGGATTTTAAATCAGCAATTAATGTGCAAAGCACAGAGACAATTATTATATCGGCCAGAATCATAATACAAAAGCACCAAAGCTAAAACATTCGCTTAACTTGTTAGCTATTGGTTGAATTTGTAGGCCTGCATGAAAAGGAGCGCGTTTTCTTTTATTCGTCTCTTGTTATCGATACCCCGTCGCCATTTTGCTTCTGACTCTTATGGAATGGAAAGGGGGTAGAGGTGTGGGCAAGAGGAAAAGGTAACCAAAATACTCTTGCCACCATCGCTCGCTACACCAACACTAACACCAAGGCATGCAGCCATGAGGAGGAGGGCGCGCGGTCGGTTGTGAGGTAGTTCGTCGAGCCTCAATAAAATCCCCAAAATGAAAAGGCGGAGACACACAAATACACATGTTCATATGACACGTTCAAAAAACGTTTTGCAAATGTAAACTACTATGTGGGTGACGCAAGTGTTTAATGAGGAAACACCCCCGCCACCTCACCCCTCATGCAATAAAAACAAATGCAATAATCACAGATCAGCTGTTCGCAAAGTCACAATCGCAATGTTCTCTGGTGCAAAGAAAGGTTGCTACAGTATAACCCCCCTCACACACACTCACTGCCTAAATCGTATATGAAATACTCCGCTTCAGGATGCTACAGGAGAGGAAAACAAAACGAGGAAGACGGTACATCACACTCACCTGTTTAAGTGGCATATCATCACACGACAATCGCACACGTCGTAGATTTAATTGGTAAAATTATGCACAAATTTTGCATTTAGCACACACAATTTTTGCTGTAATCACACACATGGAATCATTAGAAGCGCAAGAGTTTTTTTCCATGCATGCAAAACGCATTTCCCGTACACCGTAACCGTAACACAATCTCGAAGTACACAAACTGTGTCTTCGACTTCTCATATGTGGCAAAAGAGTTTTAACATAGCGTCCTTTACATCTGAACAATTGCATTTCTCCACTGAATTCTGCCTTTTCCCCCACATTTTTGACGATTTTTTACATGCATATATTTGTTAATTTATTTGGTTTAATATGGCCGCCATACACACACACATATACAAATATACTCTGTATAGGGCACACGCTCGAATCGAGTGTTTTTCCTATTTCGCTTCTGTTTTTGTTGTTGCTGTTGCGATGCTGCTCCAGCTTTGGACACCGACCCAAAATATGACAACACATGCAACCAACACACATACAAACACACGCGCACGCTCACGTTACGCACTTGCTCCGGGAGTCTTATTATTATTGTTGCTTTCGTTACATGTGTCAATCTCGGAGATATGCATTAATTTAGTTACTTCATTTAACCTATGCAAGTCTGTCGCTACCGATGTTGTGGTTGTTGGTATTGTCGTCGAAGCGATATTTGGGCATTTTTTAGACAAGCGCTGCGCTGCCGTCCGTAAGCTCTGCGGGGCGGGAGTGTGCGTGCGAGCGGGCAACAAGCCTCGTTCATTCGACCACTCGGGCGCTCCGCTGCTACGCCACTGCTTCTGCTTGCTGCGCTGCCGACTCTCCTGCGTCACTTTTTCCCACTTTTACGTTGTTTCTAAGTGCATAAAACCTCGCACGTTGCCATTAATAATATTCAACGAGTATCGTTCGTCAATTAAACTCTATTTTTTCTGCACACACAGTTTTCAATTTCACTATATTGCTTTTCACTAGAGCTGCATGCAGCGCACAAAATTTTTAGCGTAAATTTTACACATTATAGCAGCGCGCCCACAATTTCTGACCACACACGACATCAATCCAATAACTCTATTTGCCTTTTAACATAACACGGGCGCGGTGGCGTTGTGTTTTTATTGCTAATTTTGTATAAAATTCTCGTAGTTATAGATCTCTCTGAAAACCAACAATAAAGATGGCGTCGGGCAAGAACTGATATCGATATAGGACAGCTATCGATACTGTACCGAATTAATTGCATCTCTAGCGATTAACTCTTGTTACTAAAGTTTATAGTGCTCTAGTAACTCTAATTTTTTTATAATCAAGATGCTTTCATTATTATTAACTACGGCAAGCGTATTTTCAAAGCAGACCAAATACGTTTAGGCATATGTTCGATTTTATTCATTTGTTGTTATTCTACTTTTCGTTAAGTGTTGGAGAGTACGTGGAAAACCAGTGCGCAAAACAGCCGCCATTAGCACTAAATGGGGTTGAGTTGTTGTTGTGTGTCACTAAAGATGGAACCCCGTCGATAGCGTTATCACTCGATGAGTTATCTGTCGATTGGACATATTCTGCATTACACATTAATGTAAGTAAGACGACGAAATAATTTAAGAAGTTCTTTAAAAAAAACGCATTAAGTGTATTAATTGGAATATTATTTTGTTCACACGGTAGCTATTAGTAAAGAAAGCATACATTCTAGTTCAAGTCTTTTTCAAATGCAAACATATGAAAGTATTACGTAACTTTTCAAGCAAACTTCATTACAGACGCAGTAGCAAATTTTAACATGACCAACACTCCAGCAACCACAAGCGCCGGACCAGTCCTCCGTGGCCTGCATAATGCCACCATTAAGCGTAACTTGGCTGTGGCGCTCGGTCTGACCGCAATCATCACTGTTGCCTACAAGGTTCTGGTGAACGATCCCAAGAAGGCTGCCTATGCCGAGTTCTACCAGTGCGTAAACCATTGTGTACTTTAAAACTTTTGCTAATAAGAGTTATTTTGCAGAAAATACGACGCGAACAAGTCTTTTGAGCGCATGAGAGCCAACGGCCGTTTCCAGTCCTGCTAGACACCCAAGGCCTATATTCTATATAATAAACCTAAGTCATATAGATGTTGCTAAAGTGTGTGTAACGCCTCTGTTTTGAAAGCTAAATATACTTCAACTCGGTATATGCCGCGATGTTTACTTACTTCTTCAAATCAAGGACAGTCATAAAAAAAGTGCCAGGCTTAGGTCGTGTTTTGTTTATTTATTTATTTACAAACTTATCAAAGTAATGCACATAACAAACACAGAAACTACAAATTACACACAATATTTGCACATGGGCAACACAATTAAAATCTAATGGCGAAGTCTTTGTAGTCCAGCCGATTTAAATTGCCTTGATTTCGCAGCTCGCAGCGTTCGATTTGACAGCCTGGAGAACCCTCGCTGGATAGCCAGGTGATCCTATAGGAAGAAATATTATGAAATTAATCTGCATTGTACCATATGCGAAGTTACATACATTTTATCCACCTCCTCCTTAGGGCCCTGCATCTTACCCACCACTGTGCCCTGCTTTGTGTTCTTCACCCAGCCTGTAATGCCGGCTTTCGTGCAGCGATCTCTCGTATCTTTCGTGAGATAGCAGCCTGCAACACACAGATATGTATATATAATTATAATAGATAGCGAGTGAAAGTGCAATGGGACGTGAAACAAAGCCAAGGACAGCCACATGAGTTTTTGTCTAAGTAACGAGCTACTTTCTGCCATTTATTTTTAGCATTGCGCGATTGCTACTTGGTTGTGTGTTTTTGCTGTTGCTGCCTTGAGCTCCGTATATTTCCATCCCAATCCTGTGAAAAGCACCTTGCACATGTCCAAAGACCTCGAACTCCAAAGTGACCAGCTGACGAATATCCGGAATGCCCATATCTACTGATCTTACCTCGCGCTTGAAATCTGTTTGCAACTACGTACTTGCGATTATGTAAAATTAAAGGCACTTTTTAGAGTCGGGTTATTGTCGATTTTTCACGCTTTTTGCAAGCTTACAGCTCAATGCATTGTACTAACTTTCCACTTACACAATTTTTCAATTTTACGTATAAATTATTTAGAAAATTGGACGCTATACTATACTTTCTGAAGTTGCGCCGCGCACAGTTTAGTTTCTCAGCAAACCGTCGCAAATTTCAAACTGAAATGCCAAGAGTCTGTGAATTGGCGCAGTGCTGGCCTATCAATTGCTTTCTATTTTGCTTTTTCGATTAGCATAGTCGTAGTATTTATTTTAGCATTCATTTTTTCTGCATTTTTTATTTTTAATTTTAACCAAAGGCAATGGGCAATGCGATGCATCGGACGTCGGACACAGTTTTGTGCACTACAGTATATGCATATTACACATTTTTACTATATATTCCTTATATATCCGTATTCATTTAGTTTTATTAAAATAGCACTTAAATAATATTCCTAAAACTTATAATACAATGGTCGGAGAACTTTCTTTAACAAGTACTTATACAATTTTTAAAATAAACTTTGATGCATAGAAGATATTTGAAGAACCACCAGTGTACATATATATTAAAGACTTATGGAATAGAAAAATAAAGAAAACATAATCGGCCTTCAACGAAACATAATAATTAATAATATAAAATAAATTTTTCACCTAACACTTTATTAAAATGTATATTATAAAACCCTAAAGCGTCTATTAGAGTGTTATTTATTTCGCGTAATAAATAAATCGGTCCTATAGTGCACTAGCTTTATATTATTATATACAACATCGAATATTAATATACTATATGTATATATTTTAATATACATACGTTTTAATTGTGTTAAAACTAAAATAATGAAATGGTAAACTATACATTCCAAATGTAATGTGCAATTTATATTGCTGATGTTTTGTTATGAAAGTGGTTCTCACTCTAGATAAATGAAACATAAAATATTCGGCAACACAATTTAAGAGAAGCCACTTCAGGCAGCAATACCCTATTTCATGGTGAACATAGAACTAGGTTTTATTAAGATTAGTTTCGTATTTCTTCAGATTCTAAGTGTATGACGGAATTTAAAAACATGTCCCTATACTCGTATTCTCCCAATGATTATCCTCAAATGATCACTGGGGAAGTGTAGGGTATCGAAAACAATGCTTTACCTCGCCCAATTGTGCCTCGTTAGCGTCGCGTCGCTCATATGCGCCGTTCTTAGATAAGCTATATGTACCTTTGCACCCTACAGATGGGCTTATATAATGCCATACCTCTGCAATCGTGCAAATAAATATGTATTATTTCTAAATTCAAATAAATTTTTAAGAATATTTTGCAAATAAACAAACATATAGAGGGAATAAAATCAGCCACAACAATAAATTCAACAGCATAATTATAAAAGGGTAATTTAATTTCCTTTAATAGGTTGCAATCTTATTCGACTCTATCAAAAGAAGGAACATATTCCTATTTACACATCCGTGCTTGATTTAGCGCCCAACAATTTTAAGAATGACAAGTTCATAGGTAGGGGGAATTGGATGGGCCGAAAGACCTTAAAATGACGCGACATCGAGGTAAAGAAAACAAGAAACGCGCGCCACATTTATTATTTACAAATATTTATTTCATTTCGTTTTCTATTTGCCATTTGAAATCGAATTTTCATGTACAAGGTTCTTAATATCAATGTTCGTATATACTATTATAGCATTAGCTGCGAAACACAAAACATACTTACATATGAATGTTGCATATATTATATTTATATTTACGTATATTTATGCTTGATAGAAAAGAAGGGCTATTAATCTGTTACCAATAAAGTGGGCTCTCTGGACTATAGACTAACTAGCAGGTATTGTTATTTATAAACTGTATAACTCTGCCTCATCAAATATTACACAACTGAATGGAATTTTGATTGAAAAATATTTGGTCATTTGTTGTCGAATTTCCATAGCCTTTCCATTTTGTATCATAAACTTAGTCTGGTTATAGTTTAAGATTGAAAGACTGTACATACTAGGCTTAGTTAATATATCTCTAAGCATTTTCGGATATCCAGGCGTTCAGAAAAACAGAAAGGAGCATGAATGTATTGATTTGGATTATCGTCAATAATGCATTCCATGAGTAGCGAGAAACCAAATAGATTTGTGGCCCCGCATCACATACGTATCCATTTGCAGTTAATTAATGCACTTAACAGCTAATCAAAACTAACTAGGCTAAATGATTTCCTAGTCTAGGCAATGACTATGCACACATAGGGATATTTGTTAGGAGGATAATACATGCACGGGATCGGGGAATGGGTAACGGGGAAGGACGCTCGGTTAATGATTCGTGTGACTGCTTTTAAGTAATGCACTTAGTGGTAATACAAATTGATCGTGTTAAAATTAAGTGAATGCATTTAAAATTAACTTAACAGCTAGACATATAGAAACGTTTTGTGTGGCGCTAAACAATCTGCGGGGTAGCGTGCGGCTTCTCTATCAGGCTACTCTGGGCCTCCTTGTCCTTTTCCGCGTGCTTGCCCAAGGGCGCATGCTCCGCCTTTATAAAATAGTGCGGCAGTTGCGTGGATGGTGGCGATTGTTGCATCCGCAACGTCTTGTGGCGCTCCCGTCGGAAATGCAGACGCACATAGTTTATGGGAATATCGACACACTCAGCGCCCGGACCGTCGGCATCGATGAAAACGCCTCGCACCAAAATCGAGTTGGAACACTTGATTGCGGCGAGGAGCAGGAAGGGTACGAGATGTGTAAGCCAAAAGCTCAGCAGAGGGTTGTCTGTTGAAAAGGGCAAAGAAAATTGATTCATTTATGCACATTATACAAATTAATGTTATACCGAAGGTGGCTGAAAACCTGCAACAAGCAATTCCCACCTAATAGAAACCAGAGCCATGGTTGGTTGGGTCTCAGATAATTACAAATCGGATTAACCTTAGAATATTATTCCTTTTTAAAAGCATTTTCAAACCATTTACGGATACGGATGTTCACTTACAAAATCTTTAAAAATAGAAATGGAATGCCTAGACATTTCCTTAGTCTAACAAGAGGGAACGTTACAGTCGAGCAAGCCCGACAGTGAAATACCCTGTACCCAGGTAAACTTCCGACACTGAGGTATATGCGCCCATAGCAGAAGCAAAACATGAAGAAGAAGAGCTAGGGGGTTGCACTGGAGAGAATTTGTTTAGCGAATAACTTTTCTTAGAATTGACCGAATTAAATAAAATCTTAAACAACAGTAGGTAATTATATTTAAATGATATGTTTAGGTAGCATTTGAAATGTGGACGCTATTGACGAAATTCTGTAGCGGGGGAAGGGGGGCGAAATTCCAAAAAATAAAAAAAAACTCGTCCTTTCTCGGACATAGGAGAATCTGGATACCAACTTTGATTATTCTAGCTTTTATAGTTTCTGAGATCCTTGCGTTCATCCAGACGGACAGACGGACGGACGGACATGTCTAGATCGATTTCTCTCGTCATGCTGATATTTAGAATCAGAATATATATACTTTATGGGGTCGGAAATGCTTCCTTCTGCATGTTACATACTTTGCACAAACCTAATATACCCTTTTTACCCTACGGGTACAGGTTATAAAAATATTTAGAATGTCTACAAATACATACATACATACGTGTATGTTTGTAAAATGCATTTTTTGATTGTAGAATATATTTCTGGATTGTAAATTTGTTCATGCCATTCAAAATTTTCCGATGCTGCATCATTTAGACGAAATTTCGTTTAGTTACGAATTTTTGTATGTCGATAGCAGTGAGAAAATTAAAATAAAATACTTAAATATGTATATGACTGATAAATTAATAAATCTGATAGTAATAAAATTGAAAATTCGCCAATTAGTTGCTTACCTCGTCAAGAGGATTTTACTTTGATCAGTATTAGTCATTGCTGTCTGTCTGTATGATCGTTAGGATCTCCGAAGTATACGAGGTATTGTATATTCCCCGGTCCGGTCCTTTACGGGGCAGAACAAGTTTATCTTAACAACCAATTCCTCCGTTACAGACTTTTTAATAGCTCTTGCAATTTTGCAATCGCATACTTTTCCTACTATGAAGCACATATAACCATAAACGAATCTGTCCGTGCTCTGTTGGCAACTATTGTTGTTGTTGTGATTCACGTATTACAATCAAGGCACACTGACACACACGCACATGCGTTTCTATGCATGCAAATGAAACGTACATACGCATATGTGCGTAGAGATATGTACAATTTGTTTATATTAGGTTTGGACAATTATGTAACAGGCGGAAGGAACCATCTTCGTCCCCATAATGTATACTAAGCAGCATAACAAAAAAATCCACATGTCTTCAGACATGTCCGCCCGTCCGTCTGCCTGGATGAACGCCTGGAATTCGGAAATGGCTGAGCCCATATTGCCCAAACTTGATAGGTAGACTCTCCTAATCTCTAGGCAATATGAGTTTATTTTACTTTTTTGATTTTCCCGCCCAGTTTCCCGACTTATGGAAATTCAATACACTCCACAATTCCAAATCTGTATTTAAAAAAACTTTGCATATGCATATAATATGCAATTTTTAATTTCATTCAAATCGGGTAATTCTAAAAAATCAAAAAAGTATTACAATCTCCTTATTTTTAATCTGAAAACAAATTCCTTAAGCGTGTTTTAACACTTTAATCGGTGTCGACAACCAATCTGTACAGCCAATAAGATGCTCAAATTAAGGTTTTAAAAATGTGGACTTAAATTGTTTATAAACAGCTGCAAACAACAACATGAACATGGACAGAGTTCTCGATTATCCCTATAACTGCTGTTGAGCTAGCCTATCATGATGGGTAAAGAGCATAATTATTTCTTAAACATTTTTTTGTGCCTATCAGATTTTCCTTAAATTCATATTTTCTAGTTCAAGTACTAGTAGTGGACTACTTGTATGAAACCTATAGTCTGCTGTTTAATACAGTTTGTAGGAATCAATCAGTAAATAGCTATATAGACACATAATATCATCAGTGCTTACCCGGATATAAATACACATCTAGGAGATTCCAGATGCCCCTCCAGGCGTTCACAGCCCCAAAGAAGTTCATGAAATAGTAAATATCGCAAATGATTAGCTTCAGGATGCCGTTGATGCGGCGGCAGACGTACCGCATGAGTGGATGAATGATGAAGGTAACAAAAACGGTCAGGTAGCCAATGAGCTAGAAGCAATTTGAAATAAGACATTATAAATATTGATTGTTGAATGGTTGTTTTTATTTAAGAAATATTTACCAATGAGCCCCAGGCCGACTTCGCCTTGTCGTGCGGAAAAAGAATCAGGTCGAAGATGCCCCAAAGTCCACGCCAGGCAATGACCACCAGTGTGCCAATAACGAAGACTGAGAACAGTGTGTCCAGTATGTACAGTCCAGGTTGACTGAAACCCTGTAGGGAAGAAGAAGGGTAGATAAAAAGTGACAGCGTTTCCTAAAATAAAAAAGCTCCTTCTTCTTTTTACTGCGCAGTAATGATTAATGAATGTTTCAGCTGAGCTAACTAAGAAATGTTGCTAATGAGATATACTAGGATATGTTGATTATCAAGATTATCTCACATAATTCTTGCGCTGTCTAGTATGTATACTACTTACCCTATGTTTGCACAATAAAACAAATAATCTTGCTCAGGTTTGATAATTCTAGCTGAACACGGACTTGTTTGTAAGCCCTCTTGGAATCATGCTGATCAAGAATATTTCTGTACACCACTTAGAGTCAGTGTAAGGATAAAGGCAGTGGCATAACAATAGGGTGGCAGGGCTGGCAAAATGCCACGAGCCCCCGACCCAAGAGGGACCCGGGCCAAGAGGCCGCGAGCTCAAAAATATTTGTTTACATTGGAATATTTTACCAAGTTTTATATCTAATATCGAAAGTGAGTCTTCAACTTCAATAACATAAAAAACATTAAGCCCTAATGGAGGGGCAGGATGTTATTGGTTTTCCAAAAAATTTGAAAATTTAAAAATGGAAGCAAATAGTATAGCAGAAAAATGGTTTATCACCCCTGAATTTCCTAAAACTCGTCAGAGGAAGGTAAAACGCCATTTTGATGAGCTTTGTGAAGATGAGCGTCTCCAAGATCCGGAAAGTTTGTTCAAAGTGAACAATGAATGAAATTGTTTCAAATTTCAGTGTTTTGCATCTTTCCACTTTAAAAGTTCTATTAAGATCTATTAAGTTCTAGAATTTGTTGAGATATGTACTTGTATATACTATAATAAAGACATATCTGAATCATTTGCCAGAGAAATTCTCAGTTTTCGATCCACATTCAGAGACGAAATAGAAAAATCTTCGTGTATTAAAGACCAATGGATAAGCTATCGAGGCTGTCACAGAAACAACATCCGAGTAGGGTCGTCCCTAGTGAACGAGAAATGTGAGTACCCCCAAGGACCTGTGTCAGACTTCAAGCGAAAGGATCCCTGCTTAGCCCCGATGGTAATTATACAATCAATAACAAAATAAAATAAATAATTGTTTAGCTACTTAGGACCTTACAGAAATTAATTATTTAACGCTGTCCGTGACTAGTCTTCTAATTCGTGACGAAAAGCTCTCAAATGTTTAAGTTTTGCGAAGCTGAAGCTAATAATACTTTTCGCACCCACTCGGCTATTAGTTCCAGCTTTATTTGACTGTCTTGTTACCGCATGTGAAAATTTTTACAAACAACATTATAAAGTTGTTCTTCTTTTCACGGTTACTGATCCATGGACACTTATGCGTCACCCACCATTCGGTACACCATTGTCCCTTATATAAAATTATGCTATTCGGGTATTCACAATACCACAAGAAAGATGTAACCCGCTTCGCTTATGGAGGTTTATAGTGTGGAAGTCTTTACTTTAGTTTGTCTTATGAACGAACAAAAGATAGGTAGAAAAAGTGTCAATATTAATGTCGACGCTTCGAAATTGGTCAACTTATATAAGGTGTGTGTATAGAGGTTAAAGATTAGTTCATTTTGGTCTTATAGTCTCCGAGGTATGGGCGATTATACGAATGGATTATCGGGGAAACTCCCATTGGGGAAGTGGGGCGAAAATCAAAAAAAGAAAACAAAATTGCACAGCGTACACAGATAAGGCATCTTTTTGCAAAATTTGGTGTCTCTAGCTCTTATAGTATCTGAGATCCAGGTGTTCATATGGACAGACGGACAGACAGACAGAGAGACGGGGCTAAATGGACTCGTCTTTTCATGGTGATCTGCCTGTTACTTTTTTCACCTCCCGCAAACCTAATATACTCTCGTACATTTTATGTACAGAGTATGAAAACTAAATACCGAGATCGGATTGAAGCACATTTGCATTAGGGGCTAATTCTTTGATGGAAGAATTGTTTGTTGGGACAAAATTGATCGTTTAACATCCACTTACCGGTATCTTGAACATCGTATCCACCTCGAAGTAATCGGTCTTGTGATCCATGGTGACGGTGTAGGGTGCAGCGCCTAGATTGCGCACAGTTCTCGTGGCAATTAGAAACATCAGTGCCACGGATGTGACCACCGCAATGATGACCAGCGAGTCGACGCTGGTCAGCCAGTCGCAGAGGACCCAAGCCCCTCGCCACATGTTCACACAAACAATGCCAAAGCAAAAGGTGTAGAGACGCGAGATCACGTAGTACGTGAGTCGCCGCTTATCCGGATGGATGTGGTCTTTGAAGAAGTTCTGCGTGATGGTGAACACAAAGTGGCCCAGGCCTCCAATGAGGAAGGAGCAGAGCGCGGACAGTGGCAAGCTGCTGGGGAAGAGCAGTACGCCCATTAGCTCCCAAGTGCCGCGCCAGTAGGCGATCACGCAGGGCGCCACAATCAGGCTGGACAGCAGCATGTCGAGCACTTCTAGGAGCCGCTCGTGGCAATTGTTGCGCGGCGCATCCGGCGAATATTTTTTTTCTTGGCTCCGTGTGTGCAGGTGGTGATGGGCATGGGGGTGCGACTGCGAGTGCGGATGCGAGTGGTGCGCAGGGTGGTGCTGTGCATGTGGCGGAAGTAACTGTGTGTGCTGATGTGTCTGGGACTGCCTGATATCTGAGGTTGTGGTTGTGGCAGGCACGGGTGTCGCCTCCAAGGCGGGCCCATGCACATGGCAGCCATGCACCGCCTGGGGTTTGCAACCGCCGCCGACAATAAGCGGCACCACCGTCGATTTCTCCGTGGTTAGCATGATCGGCGTAGGCGTCTCTTTAATTGCACTAATTAACTAAAAGCTAGTTCCTATGCACGGAATATAATTTCGACGCTGTCCAATCGTCGTCGTCGTCGTCGTCGTCAGCGTCGTCTAAATGGGAAATGGGTGGAAATGGTCCTCTGCGGACCGGCACAAATTGAAAATTCCAAACTTTTCCAGAGCTGCACCTGGGCGGGCCTTCCGCTGTGTCGCTCAACCGCTCAGCTTCGCTTTGAAACTGCGTTTGCTTGTAATTTGGCGCATTTGCATGGCAAAAGTTGTCATTGTGTTGATTTTGATTGCCAGCCAGCGTCGCTGCACCGATGACGATGATGAAGATGATGATAATCTGGCTCTGATAATTAGCTTAGAGCTCGCGTCCAATGCCCGCTCTATCAGCTAGTCCGTAAATTTGTCTGCCTATCTGTCAAGTCCCTCCTCCTCTGTTGTATAATGCAACCATATGCGGCAGAGGCAGAGGCAGCGGCCGAGATAGTGGCGGGGCAGGGCAGGGCAGGAAAGTGCAGTGTTTTCGACTGAATCGCTGTATCTGTAATGGTGCGAACGAAAAAACAAACATCACAATAAAATCATTTCTTCTTATCAATTGCTTTCTGTACGTATTGTTACAATTTTGATTTGTCGTGAATACGACCCACAGTTAAATGTTATGGCGCCCATATTTACAAACTAAGGCAAACATTTGTATAGCCACAATAGCTCTGCTGTAACCCAAAAGTAGACTATAGTTTTATTTGCTTATTTGTTTAGCTTGATACTATATTAATGGAAAATTTAACCATTCAATCGTGATGACGCTTTGCAGCTGGACATGCCTATTAACATATATACTTTGGCTTTTCTACCCAAAAGGCAAAAGGTCAGGTTAGTGTAGTGCGTGTGTATATATTAGCCAGAAGGAGGCGTGTCAAGCTCACGAGGCATATATATTTTTTCTTGATCAGAATGTCAAGACGAGTCTGTAGGAATGCAAGCTTCGATGGAAGTATCAGATGGAAGTATCAGATGGAAGATGGGATAGAAATACTGGGTATCCTAGGTACCAGACGGGATGGTTTTTACTCTTAAAAATTCGTTCGATAATTCTCGAAATTGCAAGTTTTGGCATTATATATAATCATGGTATGTTAACTCCAAAGGAAGTTATAGCCATATATGTAACATCTGTTCTGCCTGCAGTTGTTGTTTGTGCTTTGCATTTTTTGTCTTTTGCGATTGCTTTGGTTCAACACTTTTTTGAAAAATTTATGAAATTGAAGAAGAGTGTCAATAAATGTATAACTATTGCTAATTTAGCTGTCACATATTATTGTACGTAATTAAGTTAAGGATACTGGGTTTTTCAGAGTCGGGCTTTAAAAATATAGTCTTATATTACGGCTTAATTGTGGTATTGCATGTCCCATGTTGAAATGTATATACATATAAGATCAGCCAAGAAAATGCGATATACACTAAGGTCCACTCTTAGATATAGTATGAATAGTATGAGCACCAAAAAATTTTTGGCCATCATCTATAATGTGAACACATTATTTAAAGCCTTTAAGATCGGTTTTTTATAGCCTGTACCCAAAGGCTGAAAGACTATACTAGTTTTTTGCGCATGTATGTAACACACAGAAGGAGGCCTGGCAGACCCCACAAAGTATATATATTATTGATCAGGGTGACAAGCCGAGTCGATATAGCCATGTCCGTCCGTCCGTCTGTCCGTCTGTCTGTATGAGCGCAACGATCTCAGGAAGTACAAGAGCTAGAATAACCAAACTTGGTATCGAGGGTCCCCTAAGCCCTAGGCAGGTCAAGTTTATTTTTTTATTCTGATATACCCCCCCCCCACTCCCCCGCAATTCGTGTTTTTATCTATAACTCCCATAGTTCTTGGAATTTCGAACTAAAATTTGGTAGTTACATCCAGTTAATGCTTATGTACCAATATGTGTCTGCCTGCCAAGTTTCATCATGATAGGTCAATTCTGAAGAACGTTATAGCCATAAATAAAATCGCTGCCCATGCTCTGCTTGTAGCGCTGCCCGCAGCGCTGCTCGCAGCTGTTGTTGTTGTTGCTTCAACTTTGTGCTGCATACATACACGCATATAAGCACGCCGAGACACGATTCTGATGTAAATGTATGCTGTTGAAACTGTACATGAACATGTATTTAATTTAATTAAATAATATAATTAATATAATTTTTTTAATAATTAAAAAAAAATTTTTTTTTTCATTTTTTCCTTTTTGGTGGGAGGTAAACGGTATTTAAGAGTTGAGCTTGCTCGACTTTAGCATTATTTTCTTGTTTATTTTACATCTCCATATTTTACTCTCTCCAATCCAAAATCGATGACCTATTCATATAAAATTAAGTTTGCTTGAAACTTAAGGATATCCTGCACTGTGGCTAGCGACCTACGATGTTTACTTATACACGCATAAGTAGGCAGAGAGGTAGTCGCGGTAATCAGGGATAGATTCCTGACTCAGCAGTCTGTATGAAATATGATATATCTTTTGGTCTTTTTGTAGATATTGCTCAGAGAATAGGTAGAAGTACACCCATAAATAAATGCTTTACAAAAATATGTCCTTCCACTTTTCAGTAACTGCTATATCAAAGAAAATGAATTCAGAAACGTAAAGTGGCACGAGTAGGACTTAATGATTAACTTGTCTTCAAATTGGCCGTTCTAGGGAAAAAGTATGTAAGTCCCCAGAAAGCCACTAACTAATAACGAGTATTTAGTCACGCCAGACAAGGAAGATGACCAACGTTTTGGACTTCTGGTCTGCCTAGAGATCAGACCCTTAGAACAAAGGGTATAAAAAGAGAGCGTGAAAAAATTAAGATATCAGTTGACAGCCTGAATTTCTTCTTTTTTTGAAGAAGAAGGCATGTGTACCTAATAGTAATAATTATCGAACTATGTAGTCTACTTTATATTTTTCAGTATTGCAAGGAAGTAGAGCGCTTAAAATGGACTACACTGATATTTTACTTCTTAACCGAGTATTTCAGCGGATTGCTAGGGAAGTCCATAATCGACGGTGGAAGTAAGTATTTCGAGGAGTCCCTTCGAATAAAATGTTATCATCTGCACTTCGTACTTGTATTACTACAAAAACTACATCTAACACTAAAACAAGTAAAACTCGTACGGGTATGTAAGAGTAAAGAATTTAATTTGAATCAAGCATACAGGTGTATGCTTTTCTTGTCCTCAGACGCACTTGAGAGCAGCAATTGACTGTGAGTTCTATACACACGAGTACTATAAGTGCCCCTGCCTTCTCAAGTATTGCTCATCTTCAGCTCAAGTGCCTAATAGGTTCAATTTAAGAAAATGTATACTTGATTAAAAAAGTAAAATGCCACAAAAAAGCGAAAGTGTCTGCCAGCCCAAGGCATTGGCAGACGCTCGAACTTGTCTCGGGGCAGGTCAGTGGCGCAGTTTTGAAATTCTCGCCGAACCTTAAAGGGGGCCGGGGCCAAAGATACGAGTGTAGAAAATCTTATTAGCTTATCATAAGCACCTTGACATGTGGTATGTCCGAAGATGAACTGAGTTGTGCATTTCAAGGCACAGATCTAACCTTTATGCATATGTAGTAGCTCGAGTAAAGTTAAATAGTAGGTGACGGTGCTGGTAGTTTTCAATGACGCCGTGTTCGTGTGCGGTTTTAATTAGACGAGCAGCAAAATAAATCAAAACATGTGTTGTGCGGCGATTCGAGTTCAATGCGGCACTAATTTGTGTGCAGGATGTTTGTGATTTGCGATGGCAACACGGCGTATGCGCAACAATTAAACAACACAGACCGCTCGACTTTCGTTCTGTTGAAGGTCCAACAAGTGCCGCTGCAGCAACGCGATAAAACTAAGTATGTACTATATATAATATACGAGTATATCGTACAGAAATTCGTTTGTTGAGTTTAGGTCAAGCGCATTTAAATCAAAGTGGTGGATTTGCGACTAATTGGAACGCCCGTCGTGCCGCTCATTGAGGCAGCGCAGCAAGACTTCCTCGTTTAGGTAGCGATTGCCATGGAAATGGGTGATGATCATGTGGAAAATTTACTATGCCTACTATATATCTGCACTGAACAATCAACGCGTGCCGCACGCATTTCAAGATCACACACATGCAATCTTTGGATATATACTCGTAAACTTTTACATTTCAAGTTCATAGCATAATCAATGTTATACTCGTACTCGTATCCATTACTTTCAAATGAGGCCAAATGACGTGTGGCGTGAATAAAGGATGGACTGCACTAGAAAGCTGGACAGTTGTTGCTAATGCCTCTATTCAAGCGCCACATTGTACTCCAATTATCAAAGCTAATTGGACAAAGAACGGGTGACAATTCAAATTCCAATTGACTGCTCAGGCAGTGCCATTTGCATTTTGCTAGAAAATTGCTCAGTCTATCAAGCTGAGGCTGCTGCCCACTTCCACTTCCATATCCACATCCACAGCCTCTGTTGCTCCCACTCCCCGATTCAACCACATTCGGCTATTTAGCTGCCTAGCCAAGAGCTAATTAAATTTGTCAACACACAGCCCCATACTATATGTAATACGTTTAGATAGCTCTAATCTCGTGTTTACTTCGGTTTACTGCCCCTGTTAACTTTCAACGTCTACCCTGTTTACTATATTTTTTTTTTGTTAAATGACAGAATATAAAATTGGCATTAGTTGGCATTGGCGCTTCTCATTAGCAGAGGAACGTCAAGTAAAGACTATAATTGGAATTTGGTGTCATTGTTGTCTATTTCATATGATGGCTGGGCCGGGTGGGAGGCAGTTGCCAGGCTCATAAAACACCTTAATGGTGTTTGGAATGCTTAATATTTAAATCATTATTTTTACTTCAATCCCGAAACGATGTGTCCTAGGCCCTACTAGAATGTGATTGACTTGCCCTTTGTAGGGCAAAGGATTAAATATGTATTAGGGAAAACCCAAAAAAGAGGTAAACAAGTCTTATCTGTTTTTACCTGCAATTAAGAACTGAAGTACGTAGAAGCACGTGATTTTATTCAAAGGCAGTGTTTTAATCAGATCTTTCGAATATTTGAACAACATTTTTAAACACCTACTTGACTTTGGGTTTTCCGTGACTGACTCACATAAATATCCAAGTATCAGCTAGACACTCTTCCTATTGCCTGGGTTTTTACTATAATTTTTAATTTACTATAATCAGGCCTCATCTCTTGATATGAGTTTTATATTTTATTTTTATATAAATGTAAAAAATAAAAGTATAAAAATACCTGCTTGATAAGATTGTCTTTAGAATGCAGACACTTCTCCACTATAGCTCTCGTTATGACCGATTATAGTATATGATGTAGCAACATTTGTTTAATCTGTAACAAGGTTGGTCTTTGTATGTTTGTTTTTTCAAAGCACAGCCCGATGTCATGCATCTAACGATTTGTCTCGTATAACGAATGGTTATCAATCCTCAGAACTGTTCTGAAATCCGTAAAATTATTTATTATAATATTTACAGCAGGGCTTATTTCATTTGTCTCAGATGTGCAATTTAAATAAATTATTAAATAAATATCAAAACGAGTAGTAGGAGAACAAATAAATAGCTCACATATACTTATTTTTGTAATTTTCTTGTAAAGTTTTCGATTGAGTTCAAACCATTTCAATTATTAACTTAGCAATTTCAAAAACGGGATCAATGTTATGTTGAGGATATATGAAGAAATATAGGCTCCGGTACAGCCTTCAAAACAATGTGATATATGTTAGAGCCCAGTAGTTTTTCATTCAGAGAACTATAGCTTGAAGTTTATAAAAAATATCATATTAATTTTGAGAAAACTTTAAGCTATAATATTCAATAACTTTTATTAATATATGGATGTGAATAGCGTAGAAGGCAAATCAAATTATCGCAAGCGTTGGAGTCGGTTTATACTTGTAGCTTTGTGGAAACTTTTGCTAAACGGTTTTTGTTGACCAAACCATTAAAGAAATTATACCCGCTGATCGATATAGATTGATACATTTTGAAAAAAGAAGAAAATTATATACGTTCGAAACTAAACTCCCAAAATTGGGGAAAAAACTACATGTTTGGTTTTCTTAGAATACTTTCAATCAATTAATTTTATCTATGAACTCATTTTAAACTTGAGAAATATTGTTATTTGAAATAGTAAATCTAGCAAATACTACTTGTAATATTAACCCCTGTTATAAATAATGAATATAATCAAAGCACTAACAAAAATAATAAGTTTTGTTCAGAAATAAAACTCTAGCTGTAATTGTTCCTCAAAATATTTTGTTTATGAATGTTTTTAGTCCCCCCCTCAAGGGCACTTAAGGGTTAGTCTTGGCTTATTGTTTAAGGATATACGTATATAAATTTTGTCCTTATTTCCTATGAAAAAAGCAGTGTCGATTACAACTTGAGGTTTATTTTTGATCAAGAAAACAAAACTTAAATAATTACTTTATGAATTTTATTTATTTTGCTCAAAATTATTGATCATTAGTTAAGTCGTAAAGTAAAACTCAAAATAAATCAGTATATTGTGAGCAAATGAATAAAATTAAAGAATTCTCATTGTATTTTAATTTTTGCAATAACACCTTTAATGATTACAGTCCCTGAGAATTTTTTAATAAAATATTGGGCTGCATTATTAAATACATTTTAGCCGTTACTAAAGTGAACGCATCGGCATCTAAAAGCATTTGTTAGAAATAGGTACTCGATTCTATTAATTCCGCATTGTGGTGCTATTGTTATTCAAACCATCAATATACTGGTAGATCAACACTAGTAGTAAGAAAAAGAAAAAAAGCGAATGCGTGCCGACACTTTGCCACAAAACAAACGCAGCTGCATCACACCAACAACCAAAACAACCAAAACAACAACGACAGCAACAAGAACAGATTATTACAATAAATTTATGCAAAAAAGGAAAGAAAAAACTGTGTATAGTACATATATTAGAAACAATTGTTTACCGTTTGAAATTAACAGCAGCGGCTGCTGTGGCGACTGCGACAGCGACTGCGACTGCGATTGAGGCTTCAGTGTGTGTGCGTTGAGAAGAGCACACAACCACAACAACTACAACAACAACTAGAGTAGAGTGGCAGCAGAAACACGCAGATTTGATTTTGATTGCGATTGTGATTGCGATTATGATTACGATTATGTTGTTGTAACGAAACACTACACGTAGTACTGGGCAGTCGCACTCGCCTGAATTAAAGACACGGCTACAATTCTCAATTCTACTATTAGATTCAATTCAAGTTTACGCAGCGCCGATTTCTCGCCCTTTATTTTTGGCACTCACACACGTATAGGAAATGCGCGGCTAACGGCTAATTAGGCCATAAGCACACGAGACGAGGACGCGACGGTACGTACCGGAAACGATGGAACTGTGATGGAACTGACATTTACCGTTAGACGTTGGCGCTATCGAGAAGTTTGTCGTTTGAATGCGCGTAAGCGACTTTTGGCGCTACTATATATACTACTTATAGAAATCGGTAAGCCGAGCAGCAGCTAAGTAGCCCGCACACACAATGCCAGACCTACACATCCACACGATCATTTTGAAAACACACGCGCAAAATACAATCTAGTTGAAATATTCATACATAAGTATATGAGTGTATATGTATATAGAGAGACTTCTGAGTTGGTGTGTGTGTGTGTGAGTGTGTGCTTGTGTATTATAGCACAGTTGTTTGAACTCGTAGATGTTTTGCGCGGTAGCCTCAGCCTCAGCATCAGCATCAGTATTCAACGGCGAACGTCGTCCGAACGTTTGATTTCAGTTTTGAATTTGGTTTTGAGCTGAGTGAGGGTCGTCGACAAATTTTTTCAAACTCACACCCTCACACGCCCGGTGACCAACGACGACTGAGCTTGACCAGAGCTTATCAAATATGTGATGCCCCACTCGGATAAAGCATGCCGCTTCCATATGCATACATATGCTATATTTATGTATGTGCGATCTAGGTGTACATATGTATGTACATACAAGTATATGGATCAGCTCCACCTCCATTTTCATCTCTGAGTGCAATTGTATTGGTGGCCGAGCGCGCTCATCGTTCTGATAGCGCCCCGGCTCCGGCTCCGGCCACCGGGGTGCGATCTTCTACCGAGACGTGTGTAAAGGTCCGCGTCCACTTGATTAAAATTTGACATTTGTCAGATGCGCAGCTTTTTCGCTCAGTTAGAGACACCGATCACAGCCTAATCGACCAGATTCGTGTGTTTCTATTTTTATCAACAGCTCTACTTTGAAATTTGTTGTTACTTTCTGATTATAGCTCGCGTTTCAAATCAATTCCAAATAATCAAAGTATTTACGAGCAATACATTCCGGCGCGAATTCGATGAGCAACGCGGATGAAAGCTCTTCACCTGACACACAAATCAAAGACTTCTAACACTGTTTTAATACACAAGTATTGGGGTTACCAGAGTGAGCTGGGAAAGCACATGCGAGTACAGTGGTACTCTGAGGAGGCGATGAATTCCACTTAACCAACCTCTTAACATAACCTGCTATTTTTTTAATTGTTTTTGTTTGTTTTCAAGCCAATCTCTTTTTAAACGCCTTCAAAAAAGGACAAGGTTACTAAATATTATTACAATTATTATTTACTAACTCTTAATTAATTAAACGAAAGTTGAAATGAAGCTACAAATTTCCCATACGTGAGCCAATGGAACAAAGGAACATTTGGGGCAATAGGCCCATTGGAGAATGCTAAGGCAATCCTTAAAAGGAAATTGTTTTCTGTCAATGCGGTTGTGGCGCGACAATAAAGACCGAGAATAGATCGTGCAGAATCAAACAAAAGAAATGGCACACAGAGTAGTTAGTACTAGTTTAGTAGTCTTTATGTCAACCAGATTTATAATAAACAATAAAATTAAATATGAATATCGTGTGAAAATTAAATCGCTTTCTTCGAAGGTTTGATGCCAAACTAACTCTGTAATTCCAAATAACTCAAATTCTATAAAATATGGTTATTTTATATTATATTATATTTTTTTTATCCAAAGGGTAAAAGGGTAGTTTTGTGCGAATGTATGTAACACACAGAAGGAGGCGTGGCAGACCGCGCAAGTTATATATATTCTTGATCAGATGACAAGAGGAGAAAGTACGAGTTCGAGTTTTTTTTCGATGCACCCCCAGTCCCCCGCTTTCAGCGATTTCACATAGCTCCCATAATTCTTAGAATTTTGCAGTCAAATTTTACAATTGTGTACATCCAGTTAGTGTTTATGTGTCCGTATGCCAAGTATCATCATGATAGGTCAATTTAGAGGAAGTTATGGCCATAAATGTAATCTCTGCCCAAGCTCTGCTGCTTTGACTAATTTCTGTACTGCTTACATATAGGCATATAAACACGCATAGACACGATTCTGGTGTAAATGTATGCTGTTGAAACTGTACATAAACATATGCCTCCATTTATGTAGATATGCATTGAATATTTTTTATTTGATTTAAATAATTAATTAAACTAATTTCATTTTTTTAAATTCATTTTAAAAATATATATTTTTTTCTTTTTTTGTGGGAGTGGGAACTGGGCATTTAAGAGTTTAGCCCGCTTCTTTCTTGTTATATCATGGCTGATTAAACTGATAATGGCATATAGAGTAATAAGCTCATGATGATCAAAATTTACAATACAACAAAATGTTTTCTACGCCTGCAAAGTGCGGTCTGATATTTCTACAGCCTATTCCATCTGTCTGCTAGATTTATAAGTATAATACAAGTAGTATAGCTTATGAGTTAACCAAATTAGCGGGGAAGTCATCGAAGTCATTATAAGGGCATTGGCATAAATTATGCCAAATCATATCATTTTCCTTTTGGCACCCACGCTTTGGATCTCATATTTGTTGAGCCTTAAATGAATGTACAGATAGTACAGTATTTGTTCTGTGAACTTGCTACAAATCTGCCCATCACATCTGGTCAGACCAGTAATAAACTGAAATTTTCACGCCAATTGCGATGTCGACAAACGTGCTAATAATAAATTAAAATTATTTGCACTTAATGAAATCGTAAAAAAATATAGTTGTACATATACATTTGCAATTAGGTCTGGGAATATTACTAAACTAGCGCCTAGTTCGCATTCTCGTTCAAGCAACTTTCCATTTAATTCTGTTCATTAATTAATGCGTGAATAATCAGATAGATAAGTACGTATAAATAATATTTGAATACTGCGGGTGTCAAATTATAAATGCAATCACTCAGTAACTAGATTAATTTACAATTCAATTAATTAAACACAATTCTCAGCGCCACACTAAGCATAAAAACGTGCATTCATGGGATCAGGTACTTTATACTTATATAGTATATTATAGTCTCTTTATAGAGCATGGCAAGACTTCATGAGCCAAACAAAAGACAAACAACGTTGCCTGCCTGACTCGATAAGGCTGGAAGCACGTGGTATATATGCAGATATATATGTATGTACATTTATACACGTATATACTACATTGCTATTTGCAAAGCTATGAATATTCCTATATGTTAATAGCTTACCTTGAAACAATAGTTCATGCCATGACACCCGTCCACGTACATATGTACGATTTATTTAATATTTTCTTTCTGCTTTTTTCTCCAGTATGCTTACGAAATTATTCGTTTTGTTTCATTTCAGCAAATTAATTTTTTAAAGATGTTTTGCTTTTACCAGCTAGCAAAATATATATGTACATGTATGGAAGAAATCGCATAAGAAATATAAATACCTGACCTGCCGCATCTTAAGTTTATTCAGTTCGCGATTCATTATACTACGACATGGCGGTATTCAAATGGTTAGTGACACACATTTTTTTGTCAAAAATATGCATGTATATATGTATATATGTATGTGCTCATGTGCTTCACTAGCAAATTATTTAAAATATGAATATTTTAAGACACAATTTATTAATTTCCTATGCCGCATTATCTGGGCAGCAGACACATATCAGAGGAACCGCAAAAATTTAATTTATATTTCTATAAAATATGTTTATAAACACTTAAACTTGTTTAGTCGTTTCACGCGCCTGTTCCCTAAAGCCAATACATTTTGCACGATCTGAGAAATCAAACTGAAAGCGCCATCTAAATAAGCAGCGAGTTATTGGCTTATCAAAGCGCTCTTCTGATAACAACAAGTGAAAGGAATACATCTGGCTGTACAAATATTCAATCGATTGGAAACTTTTCCAGCCCCGCAAAATAATCAACTATATTTAAATATAAAAATTTGAGAATTCCACACTTCAGACGCTTATCTATCTCGGGTTTTTTGGGTGCAACTTGTCTTTATAGAAACTGCTCCGATAACTGATTATCTCTCCCAGACGTTTTGTCAGCCAACAAGTTAGAACTCGCGCGCGTTTTAAAACGCGAGCAGCTAAAAACGCGTGAATATATGCATACTGATTGATGTGATATCTATGTTATTTATTTATTTAGAAACCTTATCCTAGCGTTACAAGAATTTGATTACTTCACATTTATTAAATATTACGATAGTCATTACAAATTTAATCATATAAAGCTTATAATTAGTTTATTTTCATGCGACTAATTATACCCTGTACCCGAAGGGTAAATAGGGTATATTAGGTTTGTCCATAAAGTAGAGAATTTCGTCAATACCGTCCACATATCAAGCTACTAAACCAAACATTGCACACATAATTTGTATATAATTATTTTCATCTAAATCTGTGTTGCATCGGGCTGGTCACGAAGAATAAAAGGTGGCAGCGCTACGGAAGGCGCCAAGAATTTACAAAGGTACTGCAACGCCATCTAGCGGTACCGAGCGAGGCACCATGGTGGCAACTGCAGCCACGCAGGCGCAGGGTTGTGTCCCGATGGCACCTCAAAGTGGGGAAACGTCAAGGCCGTGATGAACGGATGCGCAAGGACGTAAAAATCCGCAGGCATACGACATCCGGCCTATAAAAGGCAAGCCGCAACACGCCATTCCTGTTTTTGGGGCGACGGTGCAGACCCACGAGGCAGTGTTTTCTTTTGGTGAACTGGAGGCCGTGCTGAAACCTGAAAAAGGAAAGGAAGAACCAGAAGCCGTTCGAAGATTTTCCGGCATATCGCCAAGTTTTCGGACAGCGGTGGAACCATACACAGCAGCTGCAGCGGCCGTCATAAGTAGCAGCACGAGCCGCATCGTAGCAGGAGCAACAGCGACAGCAGCAGATCCAGCACCAGCGTCTTCAACGACAGCAGCAGATCCAGCACCAGCGTTTTCAACGACAGCAGCAGCAACGACAGTGGCAGCCGGAGCAAAGGCGCCCACCCAAGAAGTAGCAGCAGCAATAGCGGCGCCACCACAACGCAACAGCAGACACGTCCGTCTGCGCCATCAGCAGCGGAGGATAGACAAGCCGGTGAGTCCGTTCCTTGGCCACGCGCCGTGCCTATTGTTCGCGGTTGAGCAGCGACATCAGGCAGAGATCCCGCGCGCCTTACGTCGTGTCGTTTGTATGGGCTGCGCCTGCAGGGTCCCACACGCCGCCCATTGAAGTTTCTGCAAAAGAAAAAAAAGGAAGATAATACAAAAGAAAGAATATATACAGATATAATAAAAACCAAAACAAGGCAGAAAGTGGCACCTAAACAGAGCTTGGCGCTCTATTTAATTAATAAAAAATTCACACTCTTATACACTTATATTGTACGAAGATTGCCAATTGCAGTAGCGCGCAGTGTTTTATATTAGTCTTATATTTCTATTGCGCCCATGACCGTCGAGAGCTCTCGTTAGGATTTGGTTAGACATTTTTCTATAAATTTTTGTACCGCGCATATTT